AAAGTTTTATAACTTTCATCCTAACCTTTCACATAGGGTTCTTTGGCTTTAAGTCAAAAATGAAATTAATGACACTCATTTTCTTTTCTAGTTTGAAGTTTGTGTGTTACCTTAGATTAAAGTTTAGTATTCTTTCCGTTTCAATTTACATGTCATTATAGAATACAAACTTTATGCTTAAATAACTGTTATTTTATAACATTTTCAAACTTTATTAAATTTATATGATATTATATTTTTATTTGGTGAAAAGTGATTAGGTGTATAGGTAATTGTGTTTTTATCTTAAAAATATATAAAATTAAATGTTTTCTTAATTTTTGTGCAAAAACCTAAAATGACAATTAAGTGAAATGGATGGAGTAGATATATATATTCTTCATAACTGATAGGGTTTACCCTCAAGAATTGAGTCAATCAAATATTATATCGCGAGTTTAATGGCAAAATTTCGTGTATAAATTTTAATTGATCATTAAAATTGTGTATAAATTAATAGTAACTTTACTATATTAACCAAAAACGGATTGCAATATGTCGATTGCATATATTAGCTTCCAATATTTTATTACATAAATTACGGTTAAATATAAAATTATAAAAAAAAAGAATCAAGTTAATATAGGAAAATAATATTATTGTCTGACGATATTCAAAAACAACATCAATCACCCCCACCCCATTTATTTAAATTTTAGGGTTGATTCCCCATTTATTTATTTTCATCATATAATGGTTGAGGTAGGAAACCAAATTAAATCTAGAGAGAGTTAATATTTATGCCCTATTTATTTACTTGCATTATATAATAGTTGAGCTCCTCAAACTAAGTTTTGTCATAGTTAATTAAATTAAGTCTTATTCTTGGGTTCACCAACCAATAATATTTGATTATTTGATATTTGATATCTTTTTTAAAAAGAAACAAAATAATAGAGAATTTAATTTGTATTATATTTTTAAATAAAAATATAAATCACCTAAAATAGTAATAATTGCAACAAAAAAAATTATTGATAATGTTATACACACAATACTAAACCCTAAACCTTGGTGTAAATCCTAAATTCTAAATATAAACTAAATGTTAATAACACTAAAACCTAAATCATAATCACTAAAACGGAAGGAATATTAAGTAAAATTAATATTTATAAAATAACAAAATAGAAAAATAAAAATAAATTCTAAACATGTAATCCGCTCGTAGCGCGGAAAAATTGTCTCAACTCCCACAACAATGATTAAAGCTCAGAAAAGAAATCAAGGATCGATGGGTTAAAACCAAAGAAAATTTTCAAACATAAGAAATTAAATAGGGCAGGGATGTTCAAGAATAAGAAAACAAAATCAGCATGTCATGTTATCAGTTAACAAGACAAGAACATGATATTCTCAATGTGACCTGGAAAACTCAACATCTTACGATTACGCTTACGAATACCTTGGATACGACGTCTAAACTCGCTATCCGCAATACCTTCCACTTTTGCACTTCTGAAACTCTTTCTGACCACATCGTTATAGTAAACAGTGAAAGGCTTAGATGCCTCCAACGTATCAGACACCAACATAACTTCTCCTGTATGAATCTCTCCTGGAGAAGATGGATCTATCTTTAAGAATAAATTTTCCCACTCAGTAGGCACATCACATGTCATGATCGTCCATGCGTCCTCCTTCTCTTCTTGAATCCACAAACGCATAAGACGGAAGTACCTATAATCAGTTGCTCCTAACTTACCTTGGTGGTTTACAAGAGTCCAACAGTAAGCATTTATGGTTGTGATATGTCCGTTTGAGTGATGATAAACGGCTACTTTCTTGATATCCTCTTCGTTTAACATATCTTCTTGTGGTGTGTTAATAAATTTCACCTTCTCGGATCTAACATCAAACCTAGCTATCTTAAAATCTCCAATTACAAAGTATATAGCACCATTGATGCAAATCCCACCGAGAAAATGCGTGTAGGGATCTCCGTCGACGAACTCAATCTTTTTCCATTCTTGTTGTTGACATCCCAATGTGAAAACAAAATGCTCCTGTTGTATATTGTCACTTGTGCGGCTGTCTATACCATTAAACATCATCACGCACAAGACTTTGTACTGGTCTTGGACAGGATCGTAACCTAGACGTGCGTACATGTCTCTTCCGTTGAGTGTAACATCAGGCAGTTTCAAGATTTGTCTTGTGGTTGGATTACAAACTGCTATCGATGAACCACGTGTGCAACATATCAGACCATTCACAGGGCGAGATCTGATGTAGTAGACGAGATCTGAGATCGTCATGTCGTGCCTGGCTGTGGATGAGTTCTCTTCGATGCCATGTTCAGGAGCTGAGAAGATGAAACGCTTACGGGAATCGAAGTGCTTGAATGTGAAAAGGAGACGTGGTCGAGTCTTTGAATGAATCAGGAACGCGTCTGCGAGATCTTTGCTGCGGATGATAGAGCACCAGAGCTTTGACACGGATTGGAACCTGATGATTGATTTCGCAGGAAGTCTCGAGAGTATCTCAACAGTGAGGTCAAAAGGAATGTGTTTTGGGGAGTTTTGGTCGTGAGCTAGGTCGTCACGTGTTTGTGACGGTTCCATGGCGGCCATGAGATAGAACCCTAGAACCCACAAAAGCCGCTTATATATAATACAAACTCCACTTTCTATTTTCAGAAAGAAAAAGGGAAATTTGGAAATAAAAGACAACTTGAGTCTATTTACATAATAAATGGGGAAAATCTGTTGGGAATCAATTCAATGTTATAAAAAATGCTTCATTACAAGAACGTGATTACTATGAAATCCATCTCATAGAAATACATAAAGACGAAAAAAAATACAATTGCCATAAAACATTTAACTTATCTCCTCACATGAAGTAACAAATTATTGATAGATATTTCTTTGTTTATTTTACTTATTGTGACATTTTAATTAGATTTTAGTTACAAGAGTGCTTTTCAAAAATTAACTAATTAATTTTTATATAGTTAGCTTTTAATATATTTGTTATTTTAACCTTAAATTTGTTTAATATCAGCAGACTTAACTACCTTATCATTTTATATTTATTTATGGACCATATATTTATTTAATAATGACAACCTTATTAGTTTCCCATATATTTATTTCTTTTTTTGGTAAAATATATATATTTATTTCTTTACCGCCAGATATTTACTTAGTTCTACTTTTCAGATGTTTACTTTTACACAGATCTACTTGACAAACTTAATTATTCTCCGACTGATTTGTTTCCCTTTGACTAGAGATGACAATCATGGATCTGGACCGTAGGTTTAATTCGTAAAGAACTGTTGTGTAACGGTATCGGAATGAGATTTTCTAGGTCGACAAATTTGTGGGTCTCACGGAATGAGTTTTTGCGGGATTGAGTCTTTTGCGGAATAAACCGAAACGGATCCCGTGGGACTACAAGGACCCATATTTTTTTATTTATCTTTTGTTTTACCTGAAAAAATGAGAGAATGAGTGAGAAGAAGACGATCAATGTGACTTTCCCTGAAAAAACATAAGGAGCTCAGGCGATGATGATGATTCGAGCTTTGGTAATAATGATTCAAGCTTCAGTGATAATGATTCAAGTTTCGTTGATGACGACTACAGCTCCGACGATGAAGATTCGAGCTTTAGTAGTGTGGTGGTTTGGTTTCTCTTTTTATTTAATTTGGAATTGGCATTTTTGATTTGGTGTTTCGTTTTATTTAATTTTTGGATTCTGCAAAGTAAAACATTGGTTATGAATTTATGAATTATAAGATAATGAAAAATATCTTCTGCAATTACTTTTATTTTGTATGTTAATATGTTTTGGGTGTGATATAAATAATTACAATTACTTTTAAATAAAAAATAAGCAAAACAAAGATTAATGAATTATGTCCAGTTGTATCGACGACTTGAACTATGTCCTAGAAGGCTAGAATGGCCTGAAGCGTTTTGGAATGACGTGAGTCGTTCTGCTGTGCGAATTATCACATATCATGCGGGACGGCTCACGAAGACTTACAAAAGATGTGGTACGAGATTAGACAACTGTTTTTAATACCGCATTCCGTGCAGGACAGACCTCCCGCATCCTGCTAAAAGACGAATCCGCAGCGGTTCGGGACAGGACGGGAGAGCCCAATTACCATCTCTACCTTTGACCATATTCTTGTTTCTTTTTAACACAAACTAATTTGGCTAAATCGACTCAAATCGTACTAGGTGAACTGAAAGCTCATCATAACAACTAAACTGAATTAATCATCTCATCTAAACAGTGTAAACTGGTCTGGAAGTAAAATTGTAAAATACAAACATTATTATAAACAACATTCAAAGTCACATTAATAATCTTGGATGTAAGTATGTACCTGGTCTTTTTCTCTTGGGAGAATTTTATATTTATGACTCCTATCATTTATTCATTTATACCAATGGGGAAATTAAGATTGTGTATATACAGTAGATGTTTTACAAAATCAGATGGTTAATTGGTGGTGATAACAAAAGAAACACCAAACCAAATATTTCGTTCATATGGTTATCACAAAGATCGATACGTGGGTTTACAGCGTAGAATTGAACTACACGTTTTCTAGAAAAGTTATTGACATTACCACAAAATAAGACTACAATTTTACGTGACGTAATACAGTGTTAGATTTGTGTAATTTGAAAATGTTTCTCAGTAATTGCCTATGAATGTTAAAGCGATAGAAGGGAGCTGGGAAAGAAGATGTCAAGGTCCAACCAAAAAAAATGCCAAAGAAGTCAATACGGTCCAAGAAAAAAATGCCAAATAGATGGACTTGAAACTTCACAGGTAGTTTTAGGCATATCATATTCATCATAGCAAGCTTAGATCATCCATTTTAATTACATTCATTTAACATGAATGTATCATTCTAAAGATTCTAGTATGAAAGTTCAATAATTTCAAGACTAAATTTATCAAAATATCTATTGTGTTTAACTCCCACAACAATGATTAAAGCTCAGAAATGAAATCAAGAGATTGGCAAAAACCAAAACCAAAATCTTCAAACATAAGACAATAATTAGGGCAGGGAAGATCAAGAAGAAGAACATGCCACATTATCAGTTAACTAGACATGAACATAATGTTCTCAATGTGACCTGGAAAACACAACATCTCACGATTATGCTTACCAATACCTTGGATACCACGTCTAAACTCAGAGTCCGCGATACCTTCCACTTTTGCACTTCTGAAACTCTCTATGACCACATCGTAATAGTAAACAGTGAAAGGCTTAGATGCCTCCAACGTATCAGACACCAACATAACTTCTCCGGTATGAATCTCTCCTGGAGAAGATGGTTCCTCCTCTAAGAATAAATCTTCCCACTCAGTAGGCACATCACATGTCATGATCCTCCATGCGTCCTCCTTCTCTTCTTGAATCCACAAACGCATAAGACGGAAGTACCTATAATCAGTTGCTCCTAACTTACCTTGGTGGTTTACAAGAGTCCAACCGTAAGCATTTATGGTTGTGATATGTCCGTTTGAGTGATGATAAACGGCTACTTTCTCCATATCCTCTTCGTTTAACATATCTTCTTGTGGTGCGTTAATAAACTCCACCTTCTCGGATCTAACATCGAACCTAACTATCTTTTTATGTCCAATTACATAGTATATACCACCATTGATGCAAATCCCGCCTTTGATATCCGTGTAAGGATCCCCGTCGATGTTCTCAATCTTTCTCCACTCTTGTTGTTGACATCCCAATGTGAAAACAAAATACTCCTGTTCTAGATTGACACTTGTACCGTTGTACCCGTCATGCATCATCACACACAACACTTTGTATTGGTCTTCGACAGGATCGTACCCGAGACGTGCGTACATGTCTCTTCCGTTGAGTGTAACATCTGGCAGTTTCAAGATTTGTCTTGTGGTTGGATTACAAACTGCTATCGATGAATCACGTGTGCAACATATTAAGCCGTTTACAGGGCGAGATTTGATGTAGTAGACGAGATCCGAGATTGTCATTTCGTGTCTGGCTGTGGATGATTTTTGTTCGGTGTTATGTTCAGGAGCCGAGAAGATGAAGCGCTTACGGGAATCGAAGTGCTTGAAGGTGAAGAGGAGACGTGGTCGAGTCTTTGAGTGGATCAGGAACGAGTCTGCCAGATCTTTGCTGCGGATGATAGAGAACCAGAGCTTTGACACAGATTGGAACCTGATGATTGATTTGGCAGGAAGTCTCGAGAGTATCTCAACAGTGAGGTCAACAGGAATGTGTTTTGGGGAGTTTAGGTAAGCTAGGTCACGTGTTTGTGACGGTTCCATGGCGGCTTGGTAGTGATAGAACCCTAGAAACACAAATAAATGACAGCTTATAGGGAAAACTATAAGTAAATGACAAATTGAGTTTTTTTTTTTAAACGTCTGATTAGTTATGTTATTACAACGATGAGAATATTACATAGACGATTTTACAGCCGACAATTCTACCATCTTGTGAGAATACACGCCTAACTGCACCAGATCCATGTTCGATGGTACGCCATGCACCAAGCTGGAGATCTCTTTTAATTTGTTTCTCCATAATCTGCATAATTTGGTGTAGAAGCATTAATAAACACTCAGTTAAACCACTGGACCAAGGGGGCTTCCACAATGACAAATTGAATTAAAAACTTATTTTCTGATTACTCATCATATATGAGAATATCATTGTTATCTAGAGTATCTAAACAAATATAATATTAATATTTTACTATAATTTAGTTTCATGTATTTAAATTATAAATAATATAAGCTTAATCAATTACACATGACAAATATAGAATAGCATCATATTATAAACGTTTTCTCAATCACCATTTTAGTGAGTAACTTGAAATAACACTAACTAGATTTCAACCTGCACAACCATACTAATGTATATTTTCATGTTTATATATAAATATTTGCTTTACGGATCAAAATATAGATTTTTAATGTCACTCACATTTTTATATATTTTTATAATTATTTGAAATACAATAATTTTATAGTTTTTATACTATAAATTCTAATCATCACATATATATGTTTCTTCTTATTATATATTTTTCTTCCTGAATCTGTGTTTGATTATTAAACTAATTTTTAATGTATAAAACAACATATTTGAAAATTATTTTGTTTATAATATATTATAATCGTAATCCGTAATTCTAAATGCTAGATTAGCAATTTTTTATATTTATTCATTTTAACTAGGCCTGGGCATTTTACCCGGACCTGAAACCGACCCAAAAAAACCCGGTCCGGGTAGGAACCGATCCGATCAAATTACCCTATCGGGTCTTGTTGTGGAGGACCCGCGGGTCTTGGACCCGACCCGGACCGAACCCGAAACCCGATGGGTACCCGAATTAATAGTGTAAATTAAATAAAATGCATTGAGGAGGAGTCGAAGACAGGTTGTTTCTATAGAGAGTAAGGGGGTCAACCATTAGGAGACAACGAATTGTTGTTGTAACTCGCATAGTTTAATATATATACACATTTTAATATAATAAAAACACAAATTTTGAATAAAATTTTGAATATTTTCGGATATATAAGTATTTTCAGATTTTTTTTTATATATTTAGGTATTTTTTAGGTCGAACCCGAACCGACCCCGACCCAAAACCGAACCGATAAATTCTAATTACCCGAATGGGTCCAACTATCTAAGATCCGACCCGACCCGGACCCGGTACGACCCGAACCGAACCGAGACCGAAAATTTGAAATTACCCTATCGGGTCCTAAACTCCTAGACCCGAAAGACCCGGACCCGAAAGGACCCGACCCAAACCCGACCCGACTACCCGAATGCCCAGGCCTAATTTTAACTAAACTGAATTTTATACATGAATTATATAGTTTACGAATGTTAACCCGTACAAACATATTCTATTTTTAAATAAATAATTTATATTTATTAACATAAGTATATTAACTTGTCAATTTCAAAAAACTTTCTCATATTTAGTTCATTATAATGGTTTTCTCTTAAAATGATGGATATTAATTGAAAATAGATAAATGGGATATAATTTTCTTCTTTTCAATTTATAAAATATAGCTGAATATATATATATAAATATATATATATATATATATATTAATGTATAATAACGTTTCATGACTAATTATGAAATTAGTGAAAATATTTATGTTCAATTTTTGAAAATTAAGATCTTGTTATAATCTTTTCAACAAATTTGCTAAAATTTAAATATATACAGTATATATATATATATATATATATTTAAATTAAAAAGTATCAAAAGATATTAGTAATTAAAAATATTTTATATTATTAGCATTAAGGATGTACATTTAACAAAAAAAATAAATGATGGTCTAAATAAAAATATCACACATAAAAGAAATAATTAATTTTATTTTAATATAATCTATTTATATATTTAAAAATAATAAAATATAATAAAATTATTTTTAAAAAAATATAATTATTAGTAGAATTTATTTTGAAATTAATCAACTTCATTTATATTATGAGTGAATATGATTAAAAATATTTAATTTTTTCATATTCTTTTATAAACCAAAACTAAATACAATTTTAACTTCTAATTACAATATATGATAATTTAAAGTAAAATTAACTAATTTTTGAAAGTAAATTTAAAAATATTCTAAAGAGATATTTAAAAGATTTTGTTAGAACATTTTAAATATATTCATTTATATTTCAAATAAAATGATGGGCCTCTTAAAATATAAAGATCTTAAAAAATAAAATAATGAACTTAAGTAGAATTTGATATTTTTTAGGAATAGGTCTAAATTTAAAAAAAAAATCATACATGAAGTAAAATCATCACTCTGTTTTAATATATAAGATTTAAAAGACTATAAACATCTTATATATTAAAAGAGAAGTCATGACTTCACTTCATGTGTGATATTTTAAAATGAACCATCTAATAGAATTTATGACATTATATTATTCAATCATTAATAACATTCATTAGATTCACTAATAACATTTATTGGGCTTACTAGAAATTTTTATTGGGCTAATAAAAATTAGATGATCCATTAGATTTATAGATATTATAATAAATACATATTTATATTAAACTTAATATAATTTAATATTGTAACAGTATAAGTTAATTATTTATATATTTTTGATGTTAATTTCAAAAATTATATAGTTTATTTTTAAAAATAACAAAATCATCATTTTAACAATAATTAATCTATACTATATAATAATTAATCATCATTTTTGATATACACACCTTATATAATATATACCAATTAGAAATAAGAAAAATGTTTATATAAAAATATATGAAAACAAATACCCGCGCGGTTGCGCGGGTTGAGATCTAGTTTTGATTAAAAACAAGCCTGAAAGCAAAACATATTCATTTTTTTTTTTTTGGAAACTTAGTTTACTTTCCTTTCTCTTGCTCAAACACATATTTTACAAAACAGTCCCTGCAATCTTCTTTGGTTACATACACAGCTTATCTATTTCCGATTAACACACCCTTTTCACACAAAAATGGACAACCAAAAAACTCAATTGTTCAAGTGAAACTAGCACCGGACAGGTGGCATCAAACAGTTATTCACACATCACACGTGAACCCTTTTTTCTTCAAACTAATCCTCCGCCACAAAATTAACGGCCAACGACCATTAATTATTTATTGATTAATTAAACAAAAACCCTGATTGGTTTATAAACATAGGGATTAAGACCATGATTAAACCGGGTTTCTTAAGATAGGTTAAGAAACTGTTTCTTAAGTTTTAACTAAATACGTTAAAAATTAGTTATCAAAGTTCTTATTTAAGAACCGGTTATTAGCGTTTTCAATTAAAAGCTAAGAAACAATTTCTTAGAGCACATGCATTAATGACCCCCTTGAGGGGAGTTCATCGTGCTTTTTTATTATTTTTTTATTTTTTTTTTCGATTTTTGTAAATATATACATATATATAAAGGAACCAATCGTGGGCCACCACGTGGTGTGGGGCCCACGAAACAGTGATGACACCGAGTCATCCCAAAAAGTCTGCGTGATGCGGGTTTACCAAATCTGTATTAATTTATTATTTTTCTTTTCGGGATCCGTGTGAACTTTCTCCTTGACCCTCTAATGTATATGCTCTTAACTTCTGCTAAAAATTCCGTCTTAAGAACCCGGAATTAATCATGCTCTAAAACAATTTATGTCTGTGTTGCAAGTATATATATAGAGGGTGATTGGTTGGGTTGTAAGTAATGACTTTAGATTTAATTTCTATCTACAACCATTTAAATCACCAATCATGCTTTAAGTAGATTTTAAAGCTAAAGTCAAAAAATTGAAAAAATGGTTGTAGGAACCCTATTTTCTAAAGCAAAAAATTATTGCTGTAGGATTATTGTAGGAATATCTTTCTTTTTATATATTTTTTTTATTTAATTTCTACAGCTACATTAGATACAACTACATCAAAAACATCTACAGCCTAAATTCTACAGTAAAATTTTTAAATCTACAGTTCAACCAATCACCCCCATATACTAGTATTCTCACCTCTGCGATAAGTATTTTTATAATTTTTTTAATCAATTATGATAATTATGTCATATTTTTTTTATTAGACTGTAGATGGTTCGGAAATATTTCGAAAATGACAAGTATATTATTATTATTTATTTTTTAAAAAAGAAAATTGGATAATTGTTATGCTATCATCTAAATTTATCCTTAAGTTAAGACGAAGAATCTCTTCATGACCAAACCTTCCTTCTCTACCAACAACAACAACAATGGCGTTAACTCCAACTCCTTCAACACTCACTTCTCTTTTAAACATCTCCGATCATCATCCTTCCTCTCCCTCTATTCATTTTCTTCTTCCTCATGGATCATCATCATCTCCTCCTTCTCCCTTCTCCCTCCACTTATCCGCGCTGAACAGAACTCCGATCTGCTTTGAGGCACTCAAGGTTCTGTCGAGATCCAAGTGTTTTGCGAAATCTCCCACAACCGCAGAAGATTTCGTCGGGGATTATGATTCTTTAAACGTTAGCGACGAAGACCACGATGGTAGCAGCGGTGGTAACGGAACAGAGGATACAAAGAAGATCGTTTCTTCTTCTTCTTCTTCTTCTTCGTCAAGTGATTCTACTTCTCTGGGGATTCGTGAGCCTGTTTACGAGGTTTTATAGAATTGTTCTTTTTCTTGATTGCATGTCTAGACGACATTCTCTCAGAAATATGTTTTTTTTCTAAAACATTTAAATTTGAAGGAAGATTATTACAGAACAGTGGCTTCTTTACTTAATGTCTGAAACTTTGGTTGAGAAGCTGTAACTTCTTCGTATCTCATCAAAGTTTCTTACTTGTGTCTGGTTATAATAAAAGGTTGTTGAAGTGAAGGCGACGGGAGCAGTATCTACAAGGAAGATTAGCAGACGACAGCTTCTCAAGTCCAGTGGTTAGTGAAGACCTTTTTCTTTCGTATATACATCAAGTGACATTTGATCTTTTGATGTTGCTAAAAATTTTGTAAGTTTATTAGCTCTGTGATAAAAGTCTACTCTTTTTTTTTTTTTTTGCATCAGGTCTTCGGCCAAGAGATATCCGAAGCGTTGATCCTTCTTTGTTTATGACTAACTCAGTGCCATCTCTACTGGTAAAGTAGTATACTTTAAACAAGCACGTCTCTGTAGTCATGTAAAATTTGTTTTCTAGAGTAACGAACCTCCAATAAGGAGTTGGAGAGCCGTCCTGTATATTGTCTCTGTATGAGAAATTGTGAAACCCTTTTTCTTACCTGTTTTTTAGGTCCGTGAACATGCAATTCTCCTTAATTTGGGATCTCTGCGAGCAATAGCAATGCGAGACCGTGTCCTTATATTTGATTACAACCGGTAATCTTATTTATACCTCTTGTTATTCAGATTATTTTACAAGTATCACTGGTGCTAATCCAAAATCGTTTTCAGGAGAGGAGGAAGGGCTTTTGTTGATACATTGATGCCTCGGATCAACCCAAGGAGTATGAATGGTGGACCCTCTATGCCTTTTGAACTCGAGGTTGGTTTTTGCTCATAATATTGCTTGATGGGATGATGCTTTACTTTCTCTTTGTTGTTTCTGTAGAGAAGAAGAAACGTATCTTTTCTAGATAACTGAACCTTTAATTTTTCATCCCTATATAGTTCATAATATTTCCTATCATCTTGGTTGCTGACTTTTCATTTCTGCTGTGGCTTTCTAAAAGGTTGTTGAATCGGCGCTAATCTCAAGGATACAGCGGTTAGAGCAGAGGCTTATGGATATAGAACCCCGTGTGAGTATGCATGCTAGTGAGTAGTTAGTATATATATATTTCAGTTAGATTTTATTTTACTTCAACCGCTGGACTGCGTGAATTCTCTATATTTTGGATGCTTTCTATGGTTCCAAATTGGACTGAGTTTTGATATGGAAAATCACACATCTATTTGTAGACGTACATCAATGCATTTTCCTTCTTATATATAAGTTTTGAGTTCTGTAAATATCACATTGCACTGAGCATGGGATGAAAAGAGCTGAGTATGAGATACTTCACACATTATGACATGAAACACTGTAGTTTTTTTGTCCAAACATTAGCTTATGCCTTTTCAAGATCACTCCCTTTGCTCTAATTTTTTTATATTTGATTCAGGTCCAAGTTCTTCTTGAGGTTTTGCCCAACCGCTTAACTGCTGATATATTGGAGGAACTTCGTATCAGCAAGCAAAGACTGGTAAACATCATTTAGTTGTTTATGTATGTGTATATTCTCGTTTCAGGGAGCTAGCTCAATGTTCGTTCGTTCTGTTGTATTGTATTTTTAAAAAAGGTTGAATTGGGATCAAGAGCTGGAGCTCTTAGACAAATGCTTCTTGATCTCTTAGAGGATCCACATGAAATACGCCGCATATGCATCATGGGAAGAAACTGCACACTTAAAAGAGGAAACGACGATATGGAGTGTTCATTGCCCTCAGATAAGCAGATTGCTGACGGTAAGATTGCATTGTAAACTTTCCCACCACAAACAGTGAGAGTTCATCAATATTGAATTTCTTTGCTTTCATTGCAGAAGAAGAGGAGGAAATTGAAATGCTCTTGGAGAACTATTTGCAAAGGTCTTCATTTTTCATTCCACACCATAAACTTTAAGCTTTGAAACATATGAATTATTTTTCTGTAGTGAAACTCTATGGATTGGTATGTGCAGATGCGAGTCATGCCATGGACAAGCAGAAAGGCTTCTGGATTCTGCAAAGGAAATGGAAGACTCAATTGCTGTCAATCTAAGGTTTACAAGATCAACGCAACACTTTTTTTTGTTCTCGTAAATGATTAGGCCACTCTTACCGTTAAACCTGAATCTTATCCGTCTGTTGGTATTATCTCAGTTCTCGGAGGCTTGAAGTTAGCAGATTCGAACTGCTTCTTCAGGTCGGAACGTTTTGTGTTGCAGCTGGTGCTCTCATCGCAGGTACATTTCCAAAATGTTTATGATTTGCATACGTTTTCTCTCTTTTCTTTGGACTTCTATATATCTACTTCTTGAATTTTAACTACAAATAACCGTTTGCTCTATGAAAAATAATGTCAAAAGACAACAATTCCTATATTTTTTTCCCATGTTCATTGTTTGGGGGGTGCACGCAGGTATATTTGGAATGAACTTGAGGTCCTATCTTGAAGAACAAGTTGTAAGTCATAAAACTTCATGAAGCAGTACAAATATATATATACCCCATAACTTAACTCATTAGAGTCTCGGGGGTATTCGCAGTTTGCATTCTGGCTGACAACGGGTGGAATCCTCTTAGGAGCTGCAGTAGGCTTCTTCCTCATGTATTCCTATCTCAGAAAACGCAAAATCTTTTGAACCTTCAATGCTAAAATGGTGAAAGAGGAGGTACTTGTTACAAGTGAACGTGAAGAGAGAGATTTTCATCATACAATGTGGCGTTAGGCCCTTGCTAGTAAGCTACTTAGAGAGATGATTTCATAAAATGTCATATATATATATATATTACTGTATGGCCACCATTGAACCATGATGAATTGTGTGAGTTATGCTCTCATTGTTTATTGCTCTGCATGAGACACTATTTGGTAATTGTTAAACTAATGAATCATCTGTGGATTGTTTCCAAAGCGAATAAAATTTTAAATCTTTTGTTTCCAACAAGCGTAGGAGAAAAAAAAAAACAAGACACTCGAAAAATCCTTGATTCTCAGAGAAGAGATCCAAAAGACAAATACAAAACTCTTTTTTTTTTCCAAGGGAATCTGTTTTCTCAAGTGCGAAGATCACGAGCAGATTGACGACCTGCTCTCCCTGAGGCCTTTGCCTCTGAGCCATCAATGGCTATATTCCCAACACCAACCTCCATGGCTTCCCTCTCATCCTTTTCCTTGGCTTTACTCTCATCTTTTGCTTCTCCCTCTTCCTTGAGTTTTTGTGGACTAGATGCTGGTTTAAGTGATTTAGGGACAGGATTTAACCACGGGTGCGTTAGGCACTGAGCAGCTGTTGGTCTCTTCTCAGGTGCAAATGCAAGAATGGGAGTGATGAAATCTTGCATAGCAACTGCGTCTTCCTCGCTGAACTCATACTTCTCCATTAAAACTTTGCTCAGTGGCCAAAACCGCAACCGCCTAATGTGCCTTAGTTCACCCTGACGGTTGAAGTAATCCCGCGAGTAGCGTCCTCCTAATGCAATCTGCATCCAAGGAGAACAGTGTTTACAGTTCAAAACTCGAAACGATACTTATGAGTAAGTTAAACAGAGTGTTTCTAAGCTTTTACCTTTCGTGGCATCACACCAAGAAGCTCCATCATCAATGCCAAGTGATCCTGTAATCCAAAGTCCATCAGTTTTAAGCTAACAAGATTTTGAGAAACCAAAGTTAGAGATATAAAAAAATATACCTCATCCCTCTCATAGTTTTCACCACTGTGAGGATCAAACAGAACATCTCCAGTGGCAAGCTCAAAACAAATACAAGCAAAAGACCACATATCCGCTGAAGTCGAGTATTTTGAGCCAAGAATAACCTCAGGACATCGATACTGCCTCGTCTGAATATCACTCGTGAACTGCTTATAAGTCCAACAAGCATTCCCAAAATCAACCAACTTGCATTTCCGGTCAACATCCGCAAGCAACTTCTGCCTAGTGACTCGACTTCCTCTCCTATTCCCCCGACTCTTTTCGCTGACATTCTCTGCCTCTTTTGCCTTTTCAGAACTCCCTTCTGAACCACCCTCCACAGTTGAGTTTCCGTTTGGTCTTGCCTCGGAGTTAGAAGCTCTCTCACTTTCCTCCGAACCTTCCTCTCCACCACATCCTTCCACCACTACCTTCTTAGCTTTCTTACGGATCTTCTTCTTCTGATTCTTAGTCATATCCGCACTGTACGTGTAACTCTTCGGTTTCTCCATCTCTGCAACAGCCTTGTCTTTAGCAATTGGAAGAACAAGAGGAGCACCGGTTTTCCTCGCATCTGCCTCAGGGTTGATGGTGGAACATAGCAGAATGTTCTCCGGCTTGATATCGGTATGAATAATGGAAAGCTCGCGGTGAAGATAATCCAAACCAACTAAGATATGGAAACAAAGCTCTTTAACCATGTTGAGAGGAACACCACGGTAGTCGCTGTACTTGATCACAGACAAGAGGTTATCTCCCAAATATTCAAAGACCATGCACACATGCTGCCCGTTGGGACCAGCGTGCTTGAAATGATCAAGTAGCTTGACAACACACTTCTTGTCTTCAGCGTCACCTTCCGCAATCTGTTTCAAGATTTTGATCTCGTCCATGGCTGCTTCAGTGTAGTGCTGAGCGCTCTTCTGGATTTTCAAAGCTACATAACGCTGCAAACAATAAATTGAAGGTAAAGATACAGATCAAAACGTCTATAATAATCACTAGAAACACATACAACAACAAACTCTAAAGAGGGTAATAATCAGAGAATCAAAACATAAAGCTTGTGAATTTTTAACGACAAGAAGCTTCCACATTCACTTCAACAAACTAGCTAAACCCAACAACGCAACTTCTTTTTCCAAAAACCTTAACTGAATCTCTGATAAACGAAGGGAATTCAAATCAGCATCCACAAGTAGACTAGAATCAGACAAAGTCATTATTAGAGACACATACAACAACCTCAAAAAGGGTAATAACCAGAGCATAAAAGCTTGTAAATTTCTAAACTACAAGAAGCTTTCACATTCAAACAAGAGGGTAATAACCAGACAACGCTGCAAAACAATGTATTGGAGACAAGATTCATAAGTATCAGAAAAAACCATCACTATACAAGAACCTCAAAGACGGTAATAACCAGAGAATCAAAATATAAAGCTTGCAAAATTTCTAACTACAAGAAGCTCCCACATTCCACAAAGATTGCTCAATCCTAACAAAGCAACTTCCTTTTTAAAACCCTAAACTGAATCTAAACATAAAGCTTGTAAATTTCTAACACCAAGCTAGCATAATCAGACCAAAGCAACTTCCTTTTTTTCTAAAAACCCTAGATTTGATTGTCTAAGAGTGAAAGTAGTGGTGGCTTACGGATTGAAGAGTGTCCCAAGCGAGCCAAACAGTGGAGAAGTGACCCCAACCAAGCTTACTCTGAATCACATAAGATCCATTCTTGAAAGTATCTCCCACTCTCACCGCATGGTAGCCTCCTCTCCTGTAATCCTCTGTTCCTTCATCCTCCGACGAGTAATCGCTCGCATCACTCAAACGTCCACAGTTCTTCTCATCCGCCATCGCAGCTAAACTACGCTAATTGCGAATCTCGATTTGATAATCAAGCGATTAAAGACGAGTAATTTCGAGATCTGGAAAAAAAACCCTTAAAACCCTAGAAAGTTCGAGATTCGAGGGAAGAGAGAAAGGTGGAGACTTTAAGAAGATGACCAAATACAATAAAAAAGTTGAGATTTAAATGATAGGTTTTCCCGATTTGAGTATTAAATTAATGCAGATACAAAATTTTGGGAATCGACCGTAAGTGTGGAGTTGGAACACGAACGAGAATTATGACGAGACAGGAGAAGGTCAGAAAACAAATTAGGGCTTTCGTTGACTCTTTCTCAGTCAGAAGTGTCTATCTAAAGTACAATAGTTAGGGGAGAATTAATGAGATTTTATTCCTTCCTAATGGACATATGATAATTAGGGGATGACTTACGAGTACAGCATAAAATTCGTTGGCTTCACATAAAAGTATAATTTTTGTTTTTTCTTTACTTCAAGATAAAAATAATTTATTTTGATTTCATCCTAAAAGAAATTATTTTTTCTTATGATGTTATTTATTTAAATATGTGTTCATGTGCGATTCCATTATTGGTACTACATCTGTATAATATATGAGTTGGGATGTTCCAAATTAAAATGTATTAACTAGATTCTGATCCGTCATTTGAAAGAGATTTTGATAATTGTATTGAATTTGTAATATTGCATAGCTATACACTTGTACCCAATGTTTTGAAACTCGATTGAATTGGTAAATCCAGTGGTCTGGTATGTTATCGGTTTGAATTTTAGGAAAAAAATCATTATTTAGAAATACAGTAAAACCTACAAAAACCCGATAAAATCCAGAACCCGAGTACGAGTTAAACCGGTGGTTGAAGCGATACATAAATTTAATTATTAATTTTTTAAGTTATATAATTAGAATATATTTGTATTCTAATTAGGAAGTTAAATTTTTAGTTTTTATTAAAAAATGATATGATTTTGTAGATTAAATAAAACCCGCTAAAACCAAGAATCTGATATACAAGTTAAACACATTGGTTGAACTAATACATAACTTCTAATTATGATTTTTGTAGTTATATTATTAGAATTTAATTGTATTCTAATTAGGAAGTTAATTTTTTTGTTTTTTTGTAGAAAAAAAAAGAGAGAGATGATATGATTGTAGATACTGAATCTTTTAACAAACTAATTGTTTGATTTGGATTAGTTTATTTTTATTATCAGTTACTCCCTCCGGTTCAATTTATATGTCGTTGTAGAGAAAAAAAATTTGTTTCAAAATAAGTGTCGTTTTATAACTTCAATGTAAAATTTATTGTCTTTATATGTTATTATATTTTCTATTGGTTAAAATGTGGTTAGGTATATAGATAATTGTGTTTTGGTATTATCCTCTTTTTGTTGTAAAATATAAATAAAAAATCTTCATTTATATTGTAATTTATTTTTAAAATTAAAAAATTATTCCGGATAACATTTGCGGTTGCGGATGGCTGTAGATAAATAAATATGAAAATATTTTCTAAAAGTATTTTAAAATTTAAAATTCAAATACTATAAATAAAATATTATAAAATTCATTTTATATTGTAATTTATAGTCACTAACAATATTTTAATTTATATTACAAAAATTTTAAACCAAGAATATGCACTATAATTTAAAGTATAAATATTTATGTTGCTGAAGATACGTAATTTAAATAGTGTAATCCAATTTCTTAAGGTTATTAGATCTATCAAAGTTTTTAGGTTTCTTAATGATATAAGAAAAAAACAAAGCATATATTAAAGTTCATAAACCAATTTGGTTTAACTAATTAACCTATATTATTTGTTTTACTTTTTTACAAAATTTTATTTTCATATTTGTTTTTTTGTTTATGAAGATAATTGGTGTTTTTTTGTAATTTTGTTTTTTGGTTTAAATTATTAGTTATTATAAACATGAGGTTTTGATAATTTGATTAAATTTATGCTGTTGGATAACTATATATGTGCTATAGTCATTTCACACATTTATTTTGTAATTTATTCGTAAACAGTAATTAATTATTATTTTTTTTAAACAACGTATAGCTACATTTTTTTAATTATCATAGTAATTAAATAATTAACATTATATGTTTTTCATTAAGTTTTCATTATTTGATTTCATATATAATTAAATATAGTTACACATATTGATTTGTCATGAAAATAAATATGTAAAACAAATAATGAAAACATATAATTTTAGTTATTTAATTACTATGGGAATCAAAAAACAATGTGGCTATACTTTGTTATTTTTCAAAAAAAAATTCAATAATAACTGTTTACGACTAAATTACAAAATAAATGTGTGAAATGACTATAGCACATATATAGTTATCTAACATCATAAATTTAATCAAATTATCAAAACCTCATCTTAATAATAACTAAAAAATTTAAACCAAAACAAATTACAGAAAATAACTCCAAATATCTTCACAACCAAAAAATTCAAATATGAAAATAAATTTTCTAAAAATAAATTAAAACAAATAATATATATACACAAAATTTATTGCCATATATATATAGGAGTTTAATTGGTAGAATATTCCGTTAACAGTAAAGGAGTTGTCCATATATTTCGGGAAAAAGGGTTAGTTATGGAAATATATATATATATATTCGAAATTTATTGCCACGTATATGTAGGAGTTTATTTGGTTGTGGAAAGTTGTGACGTAAAATATACAAAATTTGAAATTAAGATTAGTAGGATAGATTTGGTTAGGTTTGGTAAATGAGTTGTTATATTGCTGATCATATCAATATTTTTAAAATATCAGAACGTAAATATATATATATATATATGATTTTAATATATAAATTTTGAAATCAAGATTAGTAGAATAGATTTGGTTAGGTTTGAAAAAAGAGTTGTTATATTCGTAGTGCTTTAAAATAGAACTTTATTAGTAACTAGATGTATAGTCCATGCGTAAGTGCGGAGGTTGGATACGTCGTTGATGTATTGTGTATGAGACTTTGCTGTTTTTTTTTTAACATTTGTTTATCTGGCTTATCTATAATGGTGATGAATGAAACATTAGAAGTCACACAACTTGATTAGCCTGATAAAAGAATAAACATCGAATTCATATGGGTTGATATTTTCATATTTTATCTTCGTAGTAATTTTATCGAGCATTCCCTTTATTAGTGATTTTATTAAGCATAATTTAATGGAGACAAGACAAAAAAGGACATGTGTTTATTAGTGTAATTTTTCTGAAATTATGTTATATATATATATATATATATATATATATATTTAATTGTGATGTATATGAGATTTATGGCCGATCTAAATTGTTTGGGGTAAATATTTATTATTGAAAAGATATATTTTTACTTTATTTGATGATTATAACTGAATTGAAATGATATTGGAGGTTAGAACATGATAACCTTTCTTATAAAAGTATCGAAGATGGTCTCCTAAAGTTTTAAATCCTCAAGCCATTTTGTATCCCAACAACCAGCATAAAAATTATTCTGAATCTCCTTAAGCTTTTAGGTATCCCGAAAAACCCAAATCAAAAAAAAAATTACATGCAAGCACTACGTTTCGAACCCGTGCACTCGCAGCACCAACTTCTTGTCACCAACTTACACCACTGGACCATTTCATCACTCATCAATAACATTCAATATTACAAAATGTTATACGTTTTTGTTTTCTCTAATAACACGCGCGGAATTCGCAAACTTATAACTGATGTGGACACGATGAAAAGCTTCAAAAATATACTATTATTATATCGATTTTCCAAAAGAAAAACAACCTTTAAAAAGAAAACAATAGAATCATGGTTATATATTAACGTAGAAGTCGAATTGTCAATCGGGGGTATATAAACATAATTAAAGATGCCGTGTAATATAGTACTCTTATAGAGCAGTTATCATTTTCTTTAAAGATTAACTAATATTAATTGGACATGTTCTAAATTTAATAGTATTGATTATGAACATGTATGTTTAGACATAGGTTTAAGTGGGTAAATCAGATTTTGTTTTAAAAAAAAAGGTTAACAACTGGTTAAAATGGCTTAATGGAAAATGTTGTTGGAACCATTTGTTTTTCTTTGAATTTCAAAATGATGTTGTTCCATCAAAATTTAAAAATTATATTTCTCCAGATCCACAAACCTTTTTTCAACAAAATGTTTAAATCGTATTTTTGGTAAATTTGCAAAATCAAAATTTTTCATCAAAATTACAAAATCATGTTCTTCTTCATATCCAAAAATTGTTTTCTGTTAAAACCGCAAACTTATATTAAAAATATATATAAAGAATTTCCTTTTTCGTCAAATTATGTTTTCCAAACAAAAATTACAAAAACACATTTTTCACAAAATCCGCAAATCTCATTTTCCACCAGATTATGTTTTTTGAGTAAAAACTACAAAATATATTTTCAGTAAAATCTACAAAATCAATTTTCTTAAAAATTTTAAATTAAATTTATTTGTTAAAACCACAAAATTATGTTTCCGTCAAGTTCTTAATTTTCATCATATAATATTTTTGCTAAAACAGTAAAATTATATTTTGAAAGAACCGCAAATTCACATTTTCAAGCAAAATCCGTATAATCATTTTTTTTTGTTAAACTGTATATAAGATCATATTTCTCTGTTAAACCGGCAAATTATATTCTTACAATGAACATTGTTTAATACAAAGATTAAAATTAGACCACATAAAGTGTTTAACGCTCATGGTTCTCTTTAGACATGATTTTATTTGGATTTCGACCACAAATGTCTAGCAAAAGAGATGTTCATAAGAACACGTCTTTCGTTAAAAAAAAAAAAGAACATGTCTAAATGGGTTCTTGCCCACCCATTTGATATACTTCTATATTTTCTTTGAAACAAGAACCAGTCCATGTTCTGGTGATCTCTAATGACAAGAACATCGAAGAAGACGCCAAGTTCTCCGGGGTTCGTGAACTTCTGAAAGAACGTAGAGATTTCCATCGTACTGTTGCGCGGCCTGATACCTTCCTAAGCTTAGACCGAATCTGTCTTAATTGTTTGAATATTCCTGAACTTTGATGGATATCGCTGCGACCGGTGTAATGACTTGCAAAACTTTTGATGGTACTGAGGAAGAGGATGGGGAGGGAGGAATCTGAATCCGTGGTAGCTGTTCTGACTTCTGAGGTCTCGTAACTACCTTTTCTTTTATGAACGCTGCTGTGTAATATTATAACAATCCCTTTGCTTTTTATAGTTTGTTTTACCCTACATTTTTAAGATGCTTACAGACTGTTTAAACATAATCCATCACTATGATTTAGTATATCATATCTTGCTACAAAAAGATTATGTGAGTTATATCTCTATGATCGTAATGAGAACATCTGCATATAAAGTATCACAACCTTAGACTTCAACCGATATCTTCAAGAACTGGTTTAAAAATCATTTCATTTAGATTTGATTTACCGACTATGCGCCTATGTGGTGGCCTGGTGGGACGCTGACACTTAATAATAGAAACAGTAGGGAAAATAAACTTTGATCAGAATAACAATACACACACCACTAAGTAAGAAACGAATTATGTACATTCCAAAACAACAACAAACAAGTTAACTTTCCTTATGTTTGGCTTCGCCGGTCTGGGAGACAATTACTCTCCGGCGACCACACACCATACCAAAACAGTGTACAGAAACTACAATCAAGGCAACTCTATAAACGCTGTGTGCTATAAGAACATGTTGATTACCATAAGTAAGAGCATTAGAGTGTTTCCGAACATGTGTAAAAAAGACAGCGTCTGCGGCGGCGCGGCATTGTCACTAAACTGTCCTGCGTTCACATATTCACTTCTTCCGCTGCTGCTAGTCGCAGAGACATTGACAGACATTGAACCTGAAAGAAAGATCAAAGTTGAAAGATATGCAAGTGTGTAACGATAAGATTTGCCTTTGGATATGGTTTTTGTTTTTACTTACAGTCGTAGTTTGCCCATCCGATTCTCTGACCGACCAGATCATAGACAAAGATCTTGTCTTTCAGAACCAGATCTGCAGAGCAAAACATGAAAAACAGAACATATGTTTTTGGATTAAAGAATGTAGAATTCAAATACTGTAATTTAGACTTAAGCTTTAGAGGTTACCTCCAAGAATCGTTATCCCCTGATTCTGTATCCTCTGGAAACCTATGCACCACACTGCAGTACCTCCCTAGAAAGCAGAGTGCATAGACTAATGTTATACTAAAAAGTAAAAACAAAAACAGATCTCTGTGAAAAGATTCAATGAAGGTGGAGTATAAGTACTTACAACGTTGTTCTGTTGTATGAGGTAATCCTGAGGATTCAAGAACATGGATGCTCCACCAGCAAAGTTTAAGCTTACTGGTGGAAATACGTCTGCCACACTGATCATTACAGTACCATAAGAAAAAGTTCAGATTTTTCAATCATATTGATATCCATAAGAAGACATGGTTAGAGATGGTAAGAGGGGGATGAACCTCGAGGAAATGACGTAACACTGGTTCCCTTTCGAAACAACAGGTCTGACAGACTGCGAAACAGCCTTTGTAATCTGCAATTTAAGAAGAACATTTAAGATACCTGTCAAGAACAAAATTGCATACTAGAGACACCAACTATTTTTCCCAGCAATGGGGAGGTTTTCTGACTTACAGCTTCAACAAAAGGAACATAGGCTGCTTCAGAAAGGTATGCCAGTGTTGTACCAGTGTCGATGATTGTTCCCTGGCCGTTTGATGTGGAGAAGACCGATGGATTGATAGGCAAAGCTTGGCCATTCACTGAGATACTCAGCAGATTCACATTGTAATGAGGCCTGCAATTTTCAATGCTTACCAATCATTCTCTAATTAACATGTCAACAATGTTTTACAAAGGAAAGAGTTTTAATTGGGAGGGAGCTAACTGTGAGGGAACAAGTGGAGTAAAGACAATGTTAGGCGCCACAATCTCTCCAAGAACCAATATGCCTCCACCTCCGTTCTCTCCTTTCAAACAGTGTGAGAACACTCTTGGAGCTACCCCCTGTGAAGCAAGCTGAGAAATCACAGACATCCCTTGTTGCCCAAACCCGAAGATTCCATCAACTGCTCTATCTGACTTCACTAAATCACCTGTCTGGGAAGTGCTGCATCTGTTCCACAAATAGCACCCAACTAAGTCAAGTGTTGTGTCCCCTACTATGAACAAACGGAGGATTCGCTGAAATAAATAACTCACCCGAACACAACCTGAGCCGTTGAGTTAGGAACGAGAGAGTTTCCAACAATCATATCAAACTGCAAGACATCAGAGACATAAAACCCCGAGGTGCCACTTCCATCTCCATACTGAAACGTGTAAGCGCAAAGGTTATTCTGAACAGAACAGCCTGAATCAGAGGACTGAACACCCCAACTGCATCTTTGGTCAGAACATGAGATCGGCGTCGCAGTCACCGAGCTCCCTGGATCAAAGTAATTCAACTGAATCTGCAAAAAAAAAGAAGCACCATACTAATCTCAAAAACATAAAATTCAAAAAAAAAACATTACAAAAATGAAACTTAAAAAAGACATAAGAAGCTGTACTTGGAGTCCACTGGTTTGAGGACAACCATTGCAAGAAGCACAACTAACCCACAAAACATCACTTCCTGTATCAATCTGTACATAAAAATCTCTTGGAGGAGACCCTAACCTCAGCTTCGTGTAGTATAATCTGTTTCAAAAAAAAAGACAAACACCAAAAACAAAAGAAACAAACTTTTTGATTGAGACATGAGAGGAAAAACAGAAAATGACTCAAACACCTTGTCGGCAACAATAAAGATGGAAACTTTATAGATTACCCAACAACGAAAGGATCGAAAGTCCCGTCGACAGGGAAATCTATAACTCCGCCGAGAGACTGTAACAATCTGCCGTGTCTTGCTCTGTCAAACTCCTTGAGTTGACTGATTTCCATCTCGTGATTCGATGGAATCGCTCTTTCTAGTTTCAGGGCAGCCGGGAAATTGTAAGACAGAACCGTCAACGGTAATAGATGAAAGAGAATAGCTGCCGTGAACAGAACAGCCGACATAGCTGTCCCGACAGGAGTTGGGGGTTGTGGTTTTGAAGTGTTTAACAAGATCTCTCTATATCTCGTCAGGAATTAAAAAAGATCATTTCTTTTTTTTTCTCTTACTTATGGGAGCGCGAGTTTGGAAACTGTTACGGATCGTCTTCAGTATCTAATTCGAGTGATAAACAGACATTTCCAGATTTGTTTTGTGCTGTCGTCGCTTCGCTTCTTCTTTTGGGGGAGGGAGAGGGAGAGGGAGAGGGAGAGGGAGAGAGAGAGACGTGAAGTATAACAACAGTGGATAACAAGGAAGATGTTTCAGTGCAGATTACTCCAACACCACGTGTGTTTTAATTTCGTTCATTTTCTACTTTCCTTTTTATTCTTTTTTTATTTTTGACATACCATTTCATTAATAGTAAAATAAGATTTTTTATATGTATAATATTATGGGGAAAATTACAGATTGTGCATTAATTTATTTTTTCTAAACATTATTCTCTCCGTTTCAGAATACTTGTCATTCCATACTTAATTTTTTGTCGCAAATTAAATATTATTTTAGCGTTTGAAACAAAATTTATTAATTTTATATAATATTATATTTTTCTATTGGTTGAAAAATAGTTAGGTATATAGGTAATTATGTTTTTATCTTAAAAATATGTAAAGTTAAATATTTTTTTAATTTGTGTGCAAAAATATAGAATGACAACTAAAGTGAACAGATAGAATATTCATTAGTTAAAAGGTTAGAAAATAATCATAACTTCATAGTTACCGACTTGTTGTTTATACTAAGAAATTTTTGTGAAGAAAAGAGATATATGAATCTATGTTTCTTTATGTAAGTATAATTTATGTTTTGTTTCATTCAGAGTTCAAAGTGGAATTAGCAATTGCTTTTTTTCTAGTATTACAATTATAAAGACAAATATTTAGTGTCTCAAAAAAAAAAGAGACAAATATATTATATAATATCGATTAGAACTATACATTTTCCACTCGACCTTAAGTGATACATTTGAAATTTTGAACAGAAGCTTACTTAGCAAATAAGTAATTATTTATCATATAAAAAAAAAAAGTAGAACAAGGATTAGGGTTTTCTCAGACAAAAAGAAAGACCAGTCAATGAAGGTTCTTGGAATCATCTCCTTTTGGCTTTGTTTTCTTTTCTTTTTTCTGATTACCTAAACCACATACTGCGTAATTTTGACGCACCGGCCTCTTGCTTTATGTATTTGTACACAGAATCACTCATTTACATGTATGTATACATGTTGTATATGTTGAAACTAAATAAGAACAAAAATAAGTTATACTACTTCTTACGTAGCATAAATTTGAAACATTGACTATTTCCAACAAGTTGGTGAATTTACTAACTCCACAACTCGATTGGTTATTTGGTTTAAATGTTCAAACACATTACTCCTATTCACATTTGCAATACTACTTATTGTCTCGTGTTTCATAGCATAATGATCGGTTTCCTTTTTGAACTAGTCGTACATATCAAGTAATACCCTCCTCGGATGAATGGAAGGGAATGCAAAGATCCTTATGTTACATAATTGACATTGATTATATATAATTGAATAAACTGGCCAATGGTCTTCTTATGTCTTTAGGAAACAGCACAAATCATGGCAACTTTTTCTTCTTTTTTTTTACGGATGGTACTCTATAGAACCCACATTGCAATTATTTCATTGCTTTAAAGTTTCTTTTTCTATTTGATAATTTGTCGACAACTTTTTCTCTATATACCGACCTTGGACAAAATAAAGCAAGGTTTAAAAAAGCAAAAAAACTGATTGGAAATCAAAATATATGAGAAATTCCTTAAGAGGTTAATGTTAAAGTGCAGATGCTATATGTTTGTAAACTGGAGTTAACTGACATAACCGAATCAAATAGAGAGAGATAAAACCAAAAAAAAAAGTACAAATAGTAATCCAATTAGATGTTAATTTTGGATTATGTTTTGATTTTCTTTTGGGCATTTGCATCGGTGGTCCTTCCCTCGTCCTTACCTTGTTTTTGTATTTAATTTAAATAAAAAATAACGATTAAACGGAGGATGTTTTTTATTTTGTATACGTCATCATAGTGTCCTTAAGCAGGTGGCATGAACAGATGCTGTTTTAGTGACTAAAATATTTACCTCTAACCCAAAATGTTAATATAAAAACATAAGGACAAATAATATTAGGGACACCGATGCAAATGTCCTTAGGTATATTACCCTCCCCCTCTCCCCAAAAATGTGTTTATGTTTTTAGTTCGATATATAGATTCACCTTTGATTTACTTGATTGTATATTTGAAGAATTTAAAAGCTTCTTTAGTTTCATAACAATCAGAGTGTTACGTTCCAAATCTTCTAGTATATTATTGAGTATTTGTACGGGGTGAATGAGCTTTAAATGGTAGCACTTCATTCAAATAAAAGGATATATAACATAAAATTAAAAGCAATACCTTTGTGTTCCTTTGTTGCTAAGTTATGAATGGTGTGGTGTCACATTCCATAAGACCTCTTTTATATTGCTTCGAAGCCCATAAATTCATAAAGAACTCTCTTTTCGTTAAAACCATAAATTTATGTTCACTTCACTTTTTGGCTTGTCATCATTAACCATAAACCTACTCGCAATGATTTTCCTTTAGAAATTTGAACAGATTTATTAAGCTTTCAGATTAAAGAAAAATTTGACAACCCCTCGAGAAGTCTCTATTTTCGGAAAATAAACGTGGCCCAATAATAAAACAAATTAGTAATCAAGTTTAAGCAGTAGGCCCAATAAAGCTTAACTATAGCCCAATATTAATTTCGCAGAGCGTCAAGAACAAATCGCCGGTTTCATAGACCTCCTCCGCGACTCGGTGTATCAAACCCTAAACCCGAATACCCAAATGCTCAAATCGACCGCTCATATCCCAAGTGAGTTCTTGTTCTCCGTTTCTGCTCTTGATTTTGATCTCGCACTATGTTCTAATTCAGTTATTGTTTTGTCCGAATTGATTGCTTGTTAGATTCGGAAAATGATATTTAGATCAGTTTGATTTATGAGCGTCGCGAAGTTGATTTCAAATTGGGATAAAATCATTGTTATATTTCAGATGCTTGTATGTGTGTCAAGAAACTTGAGTCTCGATTTGTTCTTCACATAATTTTGTATAACGAATAATGTCTTGATTTTTAGCATCTGAGAATGATTGATCAGTGTGTGTTCCAGAGTTTGTCTAGATATAATGTTTGAGCTTTGGTCTTAATCCTTGTTTTGTTGTCGTTATGTTTCTTACATTGTAAAACTGATTTCGTATCGTTTTTAAGTTTCTCTCTAAAAGCCAAAGACGCTAGTTTTGGCAATGGCACCATCACGCAACGTCATTGTAGCAACGGGTCTGGTTATTTTCGCATCTGCAGGCTTAGCTTTCCCCTTTTACATGGCGTAAGAATCTCTTCTTCTCTACTGTTCTGTTGGTTCTTTTCTTCTCATCTTTGTAAGTCTGACATTTACTTTTCTTTCCTTGTCTCATTTGATCGCAGATCGTCAAAGAAACCAGTGATTGATCCAACAAAACCGCTACCTCCTCAGGCAACTTTTAGAGGACCATACATCAACACCGGTTCTCGCGATGTTGGACCTGACCATCGAACTTACCCAAAGAAATGATCCCCCATCGAGTCAAGTCACACAAGAACTCTAAACAGGAGTTTTCAATTTGAGATATATCTATCTATATATCCCTAAAGAAAAATTGTCATCTTGGAATCTCTTTAGTAGTTTTTGTGATTCAATCCATCTAAGTCGTTATCTTTCATGTAACGATATGTACAAGACCCTCCCATATAACACCACCAGTCCAACGTAACCATCGAATTCGTTTTTATTCCCTACCTTGTGAACTTGATTTTATTAGATTGTCACACGAATGTTATCACAAGCTTTGTAATACCAATAGCACAAGCAATATTCCAATACATTGCAACATTCCTAATCTTGATTTTGCTTTAAAGACGATATATCAACTCGGGAACATTACTATTGATTACGTTACGATATTACGAAACATTGAGGAAATAAAATCAACAGGTGAAAGCAAAATGAACTTACTAGAACGATAGAAAAGAAAGTAGAACTTCATATATTTTTTCAATAACAAGAAACACTAATTTTCCAAAGTACATTCCCTAATAAAACAACCAAAAGCTTAAAAAACAACAAACAACTAGTTAAAACCCCATTACAAATCTCTCTCCAGATCTAAGAACTCGTGAACTTAGTCACCGCCTTGGTTCCCTCAGAGACAGCATGTTTCGCCAACTCACCAGGCAACACAAGCCTCACCGCCGTCTGAATCTCCCTGGAAGTAATCGTCGGCTTCTTGTTGTACCTCGCAAGCTTCGAAGACTCACCAGCAAGCTTCTCGAAGATGTCGTTGATGAAACTGTTCATGATCCCCATGGCCTTGCTCGAGATTCCGATGTCGGGATGAACCTGCTTCAAGACCTTGAAGATGTAGATCTTGTAAGTCTCCACGCTCTTCTTCGACCGCTTCTTCTTCTTGTCTCCGGCCACGGCGGGATCCTTGGGGAGCTTCTTCCCGGCCTTTGGTTTCTTCTCCGCCGCCGCGGTGGTGGTTTCTGCTGGTTTCTTCTCTGCGGGTTTCTTGTCAGCCTTTGGCGCCATTGTTATGTTTGATTGGTTTGAGAATGTTTTGATGATTTGTTGAGTCTCTGAAGCACTGATACTCTTTGTTTATATAGGAATGGTGAAAGAGATCTTATTGGTTGAGATACTAAAAGCGCGGATTAGTGACGTGGCGATAGTTGAGCTGTTCGATTGAAAGGTTTAGTGGATGGATGGATTGGATCTTCTTTGCAGTAAAGCGCGAGCGTTTTAAAATAATATTATCCAAAAATCGAAATTCAAAATATTTTGCGTGCGCATTTTGTTACCCGCCATCATAAACTGTGACCGCCGTAATATTTGGCGTGGATAGCTGACGTGGCTGTGCTTAAACAGTCCAGCAATGTACGGTTACGATTATATGGCTTCTATGGCGAATATGCGATACAAGTTTTGGGCCTTTTGACTTTAGATTATTACTATAACTTTAGACTATTACTATAAAAATAATTTTCACTATATAATGCTAATATGAAATAAATTATAACTTTGAGGTAGACAAATATACATGTTAAAAATATGAATATAAGTGTTACTAATTAAATTAAATTTATTATAAAATATTTTAGTAGGTATGAATGGTTAATTTTTTTTTTTTTAGTTAGAAATCTTTAAGAAACATATATGTTAACTTTATAGTAATTAAATATATTAATTTTTTATAGCAATAAATCTATTAATATTATTTGTTCAATTAAATACATTAACCAAAAAACACAATAAAATCAACAACGTAAGGTTAAAAAGAAAGAAAACACTCGCATACACACAATTTTTATTACTTTTCTTTTGTAGCTTCAATTTTTATTACTTTTGGTTTTCATTGTTTACTGGATTTGTTCTTGCTAACCTTATGAAATCTTTAATAAACATCAATGTTCCAATGAATAGCTAAGTGATTAGAAAAGTAACAACTTACCGAATTGGTAAAAGACACCATTGACGCTCATGAACCCCGGGTGTCTAAATGCTGTTACTGCTTCCAAGTCGGTTTTCATTCGTAATTTTTTCAAGCTTTAGATGACTCTTATGATGTGTTAATCTCACTGAAATTTTTTTTGGCATATAAATGTCAAACAATTTTGCCATTTTTTCAAAAAGAAAATGTAAAACAATTCATACATGTAAAATTATTTTTTGGCTGACAATAAAGCTTTGCAATAAATTGTGAATAGAAACTGATAAAAACTAAGCATGAAAACGCTCACCCATCCACATGTTCTTCTCTTCGCCCCATATGTCAATGATATGGCGTAAACGATATATAAAATCTCAACAAAACTCCAAAAACATTAAAGTTATCATTGGCGGATGAAATAAATGTGAAAACTAACTCGCTCTTCTTTTTTTCTGGCTTTGTGTTCCATCGTCTTCAAACTCATGTTTGCTTTGTGATCAATGGAGTTTTTGACTAGTTATTCTCGATTATTATGGACCATTTTATGATTAGAAGAACCAAATACTAAATCGTGGAAGGGGTAAATGACTTGATTCGTGGGTGTGTAACCGTCTAACGGTTTAGTTTTTATTAATGATATATTTTGAGCATGTAAAATAATTTCTAAAAACTTTTTATTAATTAATATTGTAAAATGTAGGTGTCAATCACAGAATTTTCAATTGACTTCTGCTTTATATAATAAAAGATACATGGTGTTGCAATATATTTGGTTTTAAATCATTCTTTTAATTATTATTGGTCAATTAGGTTGTTTCATTATCATTTAATCTATACTCCTTTTTTTCATGATACAAGTAGTTTTTTTAATTATCCTTGGTCAATTAGGTTGTTTCATTATCATTTAATTTATACTCCTTTTGTTTCATAATACAAGTAGTCTTTTTAATTATCATTGGTCAATCAGGTTGTTTCATTATCATTTAATTTATACTCTTTATGTTTTATAATATAATTAGTTTTTTAATCAGCATTGGTCAATCAGGTTATTTCATTATCATTTAATCTATACTCCTTTTGTTTCATAATATATAAGTAGTTTTATAATTTGTTCTAAAATATAAGTAAATTTCAAATTTCAATGCAATTTTTATATTTATTGGATATTGTGTAACCAATGCATGTTTTTATGATTGGTTGGAGTTATAAATTACATAATAATTTTTCAAAATTAATAAATTTCTTTATATAAGTGTTTTTAAAACAAAGATTACATGTGTAGCAGAAGAAATGTATGTTTTTGTCACCGCCACTTTGAGTGCTATACCACCTTTCAATACGACCTGAATAATTTATTAGATTATAATAGAAGGGAATAAAATCTGAGAATATAAATGGAAAATCTCACCCATTAATCAGCAGAATGATGGATAATTAAAAGCTAACTCAACATTGCATTTTGCCACTCACAACAAAAAATCTTTGTAGCATTAACATTAACGCAAAAGTTATTTGAGTTACATGCGCCGTGATATTATATTAGGAGGTGATCATCGGAGGCTGCTGCAGCAGCGGCTCATGGGCCGGTGAGTGGCCCGAGAACAAAGAAACATGGCTCATAAGCTTGTCTTTCCTAGAGAACCTAGTTCCACAAGAGCAAACCCACTTGATATCCCCACAATGCTTCTCGTGCGTCCTTAGATCAGACAGAACCGAGAAATGCTTCACGTTGCATCTTCTGCACATATATATTTTCGGACAATGACTTCTCTTGTAGTGATTCTTGGCGCAAATCACAGATTTCAACGGCTGAAACTTCTCGTGCATTTGGTTCCATCTACACCCTTGTTGAGGGCACGAGTAGTAGTACCTCATTGACGACGAGTATTCAACTTTCTTGTCACGGCTGGTTGGGCTGATCAATGCTTCACGTGTCTTGTACTCGTCGCCGTGCGCTCTCATGTGCATCCTTAGATTCGCGTCTCTCTTAAACCCTTTCCCGCAAACCTGGCAGTAGTGTGTGTATTTCGCTAGTAGATCCTCCACGCTTAGCTCCACTATCTCATAGTTGCCGTATTTTGATTTAGAACGATGATTGTCTGTTTTAGGGTTTGTGGTTTCAGTGCCGTACCAGCTAAGATTCTGCGTAGTATGGTCGAGAAACGAAATATCTCCTCTTTCTTGTGCACCAAGAATGTTAACTGACGACTCTCCCATGAAATCATGATCCGGGTCGAAGTCTTGGACACCAAGAAGTGTGGTTGACGACTCTTGCACGAAATCATGATGATCCGGGTCGAATTCTTGAGAGAACTCCATGAACATTCCATCTGTGGTTTGACTTGTATCGATGTTGCTGTCGTTGCTAGTTGAGATTTGGAGGCTTTGGCAAGTGTGCAACATTGAGGAAGCAGATGTGATGATCTCTTGAACCAAAGTTCCAACGTTAGCCGCGGTTAAAGACGACGTTGACCCCGAGGATTGGTTATTGTTATTAGGAGAGATCAAGAAAAAGTTGACCAGGGATTGGATCTCATGGACTTTGTCTTGTATGGTGGAGAGATTCAGTAGAAGAGAGAGTGAAACGTCGTCGCCCGGTGATCTCGTCGCGGCCGTCATGGAATTAGTGTAGATTGTGGAACTTGAGTTTGTCTCGGAGCAGCAAGACATTGAGCATTCTCCAGTATTCATAATAAGCCCTCCTTGATTCATCTTTGCATAAGAAGAAAATAAATTAACTTGAGTTTTGTGCTTTTGGTTTTGTTGGCTTAAATGTTTTGTGGTTTCTTTGTTTATATATATGTCAGCCGTTCTAGAGTAATGGAATGAAAAAGACAGCCTACCTTATAGGAGTCATCTCCTGTATAAAATACTTGTGAATTATTGTGACATATATACACATTCAAACACACAAACGAATACGTGTCACGCATGCTTTTATTTTATTAAAATTCTTAAATCGACCAATACTAACCTATATTTCTGACAGATTAATCTCATGAGACGGTATTTTATGTAAACGAACTAAAACACTAACAAAAGTAGAAAGGAGAGGAAGGCAATTAATATGCGACTAAGCCATATTACATATAAGTCGTCTATACAGTCTATTGACCCCGACGATATTTTACGCCATGCATTTCATTAGTGATATTTCAATATCAGATATATATACAAACATGTTTATAACAGAGGTCTAATCATAGTAGATCTTATTTAGATCGGTATTTAAGCGTTTAAATCTTGATCTTTTTTTGGCAACTTTAAATCTTGATCTATATGATGATTTTCTGGAAAATGTTTCAAATTCTCGACTAATCATTATTGTACATACCAATTCATTAAGATATAAGGATAGTTAGAATTGTGTTACGAGGAATATTTTGGACCGTAAATGTGACAATACAATTACAAAATGATGAAGTCATGAGTGATGTTTTCCCCCCTTGAAAACACAACGGTTATCTATATATGAATTATTATCATTAGGTTAAAAGTAGACTAATAAAGATATTGACGTGATTAAGTAGTCAATTGAAGTATAGAGAGAGAGATAGAGAGACCATCCCCCCACTTAAGACCTTCCCCGCATAAACCTACGAATATGTCAGCTATATCTTAAAATATACGAAGAATGTGTCAATTCCCATTTTAATCAAACTTAACCTAAGTCAAGCTTTAGTGTGTCTCATGCCTCTTTCTCCACGTAGTACTTAAATATACATTCATAAACGGTGAAATTGGCATACCGGTTAAGCTTACATAGCATCTTATGTCACATTAACCAATCCTTTTTATAACTGCTGCTACATGCATTCCTCATACCAGCTTACATGCGCACATGTAAACGCGCGCTCATAGGACGGATCTGACAGGGAACACTAAGATTGTGAAAATCGGCATAAGTTGCAAGTTTGGTAAGATAATCTTTACCAGCTTATTCATTTTATTTCGAAATAAGTATATTCTTAATTATATTAATGAACTAGAAATAATTTGGCAAAACTAATAATAATGAACTAGAAATAGTTCACGCCATATATGAAAATTTAAATATATAACAAATATACAGGATATCGTCTGAGCTTCGCTACTCAAGACTCCAAAGCACACCCTACACCAGCTTTGGCTAATGCACCGGATATTGCACGACCAATATGGTATTCAGCTACTGCTCCGATGTTAAAACACTTCTCTCTGAATAGAATGTCTCGCACCGTTAAAGCAAATCTCAGACACCGAAGAGGTAATCTGGCGATTAATGGTACACTCAACAATAAGTCAGTTGCACAACTAATCATGGACTGCAACACTTCATGTCCACATCACGATGTTGAGAGCAAATGTTTTCTTCATGTCGGTTGACTCCTTCTTCAAACGAATGTTCTGACCTGCTAGCGAAGCAAGCTTGTAATACATGACAATGATGTATATATTCACTCTACGGTTGGTACACCTTAATTTTGTTTTATCATTTAATTTTAAATACACAATTAAATAAAAAAATAGAGTTTGATCTGCAAACCCCCACGCGAATAAATGTTCTTCTGTATAGGTTAAAATTTGATTTGTATAATAAATAACTGAATAATTTGTAACTAAATTTGGTCATGTAGTATTATTGGGTAATTGATTGCTTAAGTTTATTGCTTTTCAAAATTTTCAGATACAAAATTTTATGTTTTATACGTTATGTATTGTGTCAATCAATATCAAACCATTTTTACAATATTTGGTATAGTTTTACTGAAGTAATCAAATAGAAAAAGAAGGATGAGAATATATTTTTCGAACTTTTAAATAATAATTTGCTTAGATTATATTTTATAAAAAAATAATTATATTCTAAATCATCAAGACTAATAATCAAAACTGCAGATGATAAAAAACAAGATATGTCAATGTTATATATTTTGAATATTTGATACAAAAATCCGATATTTTAGTTTTATCTAAAAATACCTGAATCAAAAATTTACCCAACTGAATCCAAAGTGAATATGAAAAAAAAAAAAATGAACACATACCAAATCATAAACTAAAATATCCAAAATCTAAAATACACTATCTAAACTCAAACTTGCAAATCCTTTATAAAAAAAACTTGAACTTGTATCCAAGCGTCTTGTACTAAGAGCATCTCCAAAAGACACTCCATAACACCAGATATAGAGTTTCTTGCTCTCCAAAAAGAAACTTCAAAATTTCAAATTTGAAATTTCATCTTTTTATTTGCATTTTGGTATTTACAATTAATTATATATTATATTTATTCAGTTTTTCTTGTTTAACATTTTAATCCTTAAATTTTTTATATATTATAAATCTTTCAGATGATTTGTTTTTATAAATTTAAGTTTTATACATAAAACTTTAAAATAAAATTTATATTATTTTAAAACTAAAGACTTCATGAATATTACAAAAGAAACTTAAAAACATTTTAGAAAGGTACATGAATAACATAGTTATTACATAAATTTAAATATTACAACAATATTAATAGTATGGTAAATTTTCTCTGAAACCTTCAGAATTTTCAGAATATTATCCAAATAAGTATTGTATAACTGAAGATGGAGCATTATGGAAATAATTTTATGAAATAATGTGATATTTTGTTTCTAGTTTATAATTTAGTTATGTATTTCTATTTACAGTTTTAAATTTTAGAGTAAATATTTTTAATTAATATTATTGTTATGTTTTTTTTTATATGTGCTAGTTATTTATAAAAAAAATTATGAATTTATACTAGTTATGAAAAATATAAGGACCATAGAGTAAAATACAAGTAGTTTTAAAGTTAGTTTTGAAGTTTTGCTTTTGGAAAAGAACACGTTGAAACTTCAAAAATAGAATTTTGTAAACTCTAAAATAGAGTGTCTTTTTTTAGACTCTCTAAGAACAGTTCTAATAAGGATTTTAGTAACACAATATTAGTATTTAATTGCGAGGTTCTTAAGTTTATGGAAAATTCAACTAAGAGCATGTTTATCAGCGTATCTTAAGGGGGTTGTTTAGCAAAATTAGCAATTAAAATAAATGGAAAAAAGAAAATTAAGCAAAGCACGTCTCCTAATTGGGATCCCGGAGGCACGTTCCTTAGTGGGTACGTGGCACTTTCGTCCGTCTCGTTTCTTCTTTCTTTCTTTCTCTCTATTTGTTGTTGTTACACTCTCTTTACACTGCTAACCGAGTACTAAGAGCATGATTAACGCTCGTTTTTAAGTCCATTTCTTAGCTTTTTGGGTTTAAAAATAAATCAAAAAGCCTAAGAAACAAACGAAATGTTTCTTAATTAAGGGACAAAAGAAGAAGTCTCTTATGAGACACGTGTCTCCCATTAAGGGAATTTCATCGTTTTTCTCTCCACATCTCTTTCTGGAAAATGAAGAAGAAGTTTCAGAGTCCCTCTACATCTTCGATTCAATTTCCCTCAACCGATTCAAGATTCGAATTGCCTCATTGATTACTTTCAAGACTCCAGAAGTTCCATCAGTCGCACCGCGATCTTTGATTACTCCTTCTCCGCCGTCAAGAATCTCCGTCACTGTCTTCTTTAACTCTATCCTCAGAGTATCGGTGTTTGCTGGCGTCGATTCCACCATAGATTCCTTCAATAAAGAGGTTTACTTGCAGGATGCAACTATATAGAGTTCTGTAATGGTGCGTCATTCAATTCAGAGAGGTTTTGACTTGAGAAGCATCTCAGGTTGTGTAGTGACCATGAACTTGTAACATTCTTTGGCTGGAAGATCAGTGAGCATCGAACTTGAGAAGCATCTCAGGCTCGGAAGATCAGTGGCTGGAAGAAAGTGATTACTGAAGTTGATGCAATGCATATGTGCTATGTGTAAAAGTTCTAGCAATAATCTACTCATTTATGATTGTCTCTTACATATATCTCTTACCATTAAAAAAATATTAAACTAACTTAAGGATTCTTTTTGCATCTCTAGCAATAATGATGCTCTAATGATAATACTTTCTCTCTTTTTTAAGAGACTATCAATAAACGATTATAATTGTGTGTATCTTAATAATGTCTCTTAGCTTAAAGATAATCATTAAAAAATTATTCTGGCCCACTTAAGATACACCTAAGGGATTTGCCTATAAACATGCTCTAACACATGTACTTTCAGTTGAGTTTCCCATAAAATTTAAAATCTTATAATTAGATATTCTTATTTATATATACATACACATATCTGTATTTTGAGAAATCTAGTGCTAAAATCCGGCATTGAAGTTGCTCTAAGTCATTGAAGCATCAAGCATATTTTGAGTAATATTAAAATGTTTTTGAATACAAAAATGTTTTGGATTGAAATTTAATATAGTGATCGGCACAGTTGTGTTTAGAGAACTCTCGTTTTACATGCATATGAATACTATAAAGATAAAACTAAACATGTAAATAGCACATGAATTCATGGTAATTTCAATATGTATTTCTCTATAGACTTGCTCTGAGATATCCAAGAGGGGTATTAAACAATAAATGTGCTTTTAGAGCTCAATTCCGGCCGTGATATAACTTTAGGGGGTGATCATTGAAGGTTGCTGCTGCGACGGCTCATGGGCCGGTGAGTGGCCCGAAAACAAAGAAACATGGCTCATAAGCTTGTCTTTCCTAGAGAACCTAGTTCCACAAGAGCAAACCCACTTGATATCCCCACAATGCTTCTCGTGCGTCCTTAGATCAGACAGAACCGAGAAATGCTTCACGTTGCATCTTCTGCACATATATATCTTCGGACAATGACTTCTCTTGTAATGATTCTTGGCGCAAATCACAGATTTCAACGGCTGAAACTTCTCGTGCATTTGGTTCCATCTACACCCTTGTTGAGGGCACGAGTAGTAGTACCTCATTGACGACGAGTATTCAACTTTCTTGTCACGGCTGGTTGGGCTGATCAATGCTTCACGTGTCTTGTACTCGTCCCCGTGCGCTCTCATGTGCATCCTTAGATTCGCGTCTCTCTTAAACCCTTTCCCGCAAACCTGGCAGTAATGTGTGTATTTCGCTAGTAGATCCTCCACGCTTAGCTCCACTATCTCGTAGTTCCCTGGTCTTGATTTAGAACAGTGAGTATCTTTGTTAGGGTTTGTGGTTTCATTGCTGTACCAGTCAAGATTCTGCGTAGTATGGTCGAGAAACGAAATATCTCCTCTTTCTTGGGCACCAAGAATGTTAACTGACGACTCTCCCATGAAATCATGATCCGGGTCGAAGTCTTGGGTGAACTCCATACCCATTGCATCTTCGGTTTCATTGGTATCGATATTGCAGTTGCTGTTAGCTGAGCTTTGGAGTTGTTGGCAAGTGAACAACATTGAAGAAGCAGCCGTGATGATGTCTTGAACCAAACTTTCGACGTTAGCCGCGGCTAAAGATGACGTTGACTCCGAGGATTGGTTATTGTTATTAGGGGAGATCATGAAAAAGTTGACCAGAGATTGGATCTCATGGACTTTGCCTTGCATGGTAGAGATGTTGAGTAAAAGAGAGAGTGAAATGCCGTCGTGGTCTCCTGATGATCTCGTCGGATTCATGTAGATTGTGGAACTAGAGTTCGTCTCGGAGAAGCAAGACATTGAGCCTTCTCCATTACTCATCATATACCGTCCTTGATTCATATGCTCTTCTTGATTCATCTATGTAGTAGGAAGAAAATAGTTAACTTGAGTTTTGTTTTTATTTGTTATTTCGAGTTTGTTTGCTTGTTAAAATTCTTTGTGGTGTCTCCTTTTATATATGCCAGCCGTTCTAGAGAAATGGATTAAAAAATTACACCCTACCGTATAAAATACTTATGAATTGTGGCATATTATATACATTCACACACAAACGATTACATGCCACTGATGCCAGAACAAAATAATATTCCTTAATTTCAAAAAATTTAAAAAAATATATATTCTTATATTTTTTTAATAATATTCTTATGCTGTTTTGTTAATCTTTATCAAAATTCAAAACAGGCTGAGAGACAATTGATGTGGGAGACAACACCGAAGAACTCAACATGGTGTTATTCTGTTTTGTTAATCTTTATCAGCTTGTTTTATCTCTATGGCTTTCTCATTTGTTTCTGGATCATCAAACGTTACAGCCGATGCTTTGGCAAAAGCAGTCCTTTGCGACTCGTCCATGTATCCTGGTCCTTAGAAAATGATTAATGTTTTATTTAAGAGTAGATTTTTAGTTTTTTAGTTAAAAGCTAAGAACAGTTTCTTATACTCCGTTAAAAATTTATCCTAAAAATCTTTATTAATGATGCTCTTAGTGGGCTGAAAATTCTTTTAAAATTAATGTTATTGGTTGTCAAAAAGAAAATCAAAATTCAAAAAATCTGCCAATATTATACTACTGTACTGTGTATACCAAAATAATTTATAACAGATGAATGGGCCGTTAGATGGTCTTTATTATAGGAGACTAAAACATTGACAGTGTGCAAAGCAAATAGGCAAAGTATTGAACCTGATGAGCCTTGCATTTCAACAATGCTTTGAAAACCGAGTATACATTTAATGATCTAGAATAGCATGCATGTATAATATAATAGAGGTCCACTTAGTTTCAATTCTCTAGTGTAGAGCTATTACCAATATATCAATCATTCTGATGTTCATGGTTTGATGTTCATGGTTTGGCTTGTGATTAGACTCTTTTCTAAGGAATTCAACTGTCTATTCTAAGAGTGGTTTAGTACTTCATGTGTTTTTGTTGCCTATAGTGTAAATCATGTAGCGGATCAATTCCAACGAAGCTCTCAAACTAGTACCTTTTATGTAATTGACTCTGTAGGTTTTGAAAAATGTTGGTTATTCGATCAAATTTGAATGATTTTCTAGTCAGATCGTTCCTACATTTTTTTCAATTTGATCACATTTATTTAAGTGTTTACATCTGGTAGATATGGTGATCTTTAGAACACATATTTCAGATTTTGTAGATATATTACAATCCATTAATTAAAGTCCTAAGGATATTTACAATTTTGTTGTGCGTAATTTTTTTGATAGTATTTATGACGTAATGCAATTACACGAGGCATTATATGAAGTCATGAATGTTGTTTTCACCCTTCAAATTCAAAATGCTATTATCAGTGTTTCCGTTAAGTTAACAGTGGGATTGATAAGGATATGTGATGTGATTTACTCGGAAGTCAACTAGCGTATAGAATAGCAAATCCTTTTTACAAAAAAAAAAAAAACTAGCGTATAGAAAGCAAATAAGTGCTAGCCCATGTAAGACCGTCCCCACATAAGACTACAGTATTTTGGTGTATATAGCTTAAATAAACGAAGATTAATAATGTCAATCCCTGTTTAATTAAATAAATACTATTAATTAACCTAAGTCAAGTTGTGTTTCTCATGCATTAATCTTCGCAAATTATTTGAATATACATTCATATAACGGGCGTTGTTGTCATAAAGGTCAAGGCGTGAAGCTTGTATAATGTATAACTCAATCCTTTTGCTTCTACATGCATTCCTCTTAGTGCCAGCGTATTTATTTTATATTACAAAGTAACTTTATTATATTAATGAACAACGTTAATATAAAAGTGATGGCTGATAAATGGTGTTTTTTTGGGTTAGCTTCAGTGACTTGTTTAAGAAGAACGTCACGTAAAATAACGCTATTGTTTAAAAAAACAAACATGTCTGCTAAGTGCTAACTCATTACAACTGGAGTATTATATTTGGCTATCAAACATGCCTATTTAAGGGATGTAATAAGTTATTTATTATTCGTCTATGCTAGAAAATTGTAGTGACGCAAAAATACATGGCACAACTTATATAATTCATTTTGTTGAAAAAATCAGAGCTGATCTGGTCAGATTAGCCCATCACCAGGAGTGTAATGATGTTGACACTCCAATTGTCATGAACCATTCTTAGTTTTTTTTTTTAATAAAGTTGAAGTTTGAACGGTGTGGTAATGCCCTCTCAACTTGGACTTAATTAATAGTTTCGTTAGCCAACATAAAAAAAAACTAAACTATTTTAATTAGTAATCAACGTGTAATAAAAGTCTAACGAATTAGATTTGTCTCTCTATTTGAGATCATATGAACAATAGAAGAATATTTTGTTGCCCCAATAAAGAACAAACGTTAGGCTTTCTTCTAGGATCGAACACGGTTTTAAATTTGTCATCCCACCAAGTCTGTATGATCTACAAAGTCGGAGTGGCACAAATACAAATTATTCTGGTGGAAGTTTTAGTTTTGTTTGTATTGGTAATACTATAGTACTTTCTAGGAATCATGGAATTTTAAGTTTTAATTCAAAACGAGACGAGAAGAAATGAAAATTTTCATGTAATTTAGATCTTTACATGCAAGCAAATCATTGACAGATTACACAACTACACTCATTCATGATGTTGCTGTTGTTGAACTACTAAAACAGAAACCCTAGTTTTTAGATCTTTACATGCAAGCAAATCTCCAATGACTCCTAACTCCGGAAGCTCCATCCATTCGGGTAAACCCGTGACATCCAGTAAATCATCGTCGTGACTTCTCCCTACAATCATCAAGTCATACTCTTCCGCCGCCAATCTTACGGCGGTGCCCACCGCCGGACCACCGTTGACTAACTTCTCCGCATAGGAGAAATTCTTAGCGGAGGCATATGTTGCTTTCAAATCATTCAAGACCTCATTATCAACAAGGTAATCCCAGTTCTTGGACTTGTCTCGTTCTTGACCAGACAAAAACCGGATCACCGAGAGACGCACTCTAGGGTTCTGTCTCATCCATTTAGCTAGCGAGATGGCCTCTCGATCATCTTTACCACCAATGAAGATAACACCGACTTTAACGGTACCGTTACTCCTTTTCTTACGGTAGCTTCGGTCATTGAGTACACCTATAGAACAGGGAGCACGGTCGAGGAGTGATGCGTTCACACTTCTGATCACACTATCGTCAGATTCATATAATCCATTAGGTGACCATTTACGTCCAGAAGGGACGATGATCATCGACGTGTGGTGGTCTAAAGCGAGGTTGCAAATGTCATGATCCATTAGATCCTCGTGAGAGTAAGCTGTGAAGAAACTAACAGTCGTAGATGCCCAATTCTCTTGTTGAAACTCGGAGAACACGAGCATCATTGTTTGTATGTAAGAGTTTTGAAGTAACTGCGGTTCGGTCCGCTTGTCGTGTGGTATCAAGATGGGAAACGAACGTCCCGCGAGTTTCACGAGGTGTAATGCTGTGACAGCAATGATTCCTCTGTCTTTATTATTATCTTGGTTAGGAGGGAAAGAGAGCAGTTGTAATAACGATAGCACGCCTGAGATGTTGTCCGGTTTGTGCAAACATGTTAGGATCTTGAGATCTGAGTTTGGTTTCAGATGCATGAGGTCTCTCCTGACGTATCCTATATATTTTCTCTTTGGATCGTATAGTGTTTTCACTATAGTAGGTAACACTCCCGCGATCACAAGGACGTATATTATCATGAACGTATGTGTGGCTTGTGACAAATTCTACATGACAAAAAAATAATAACCCGTTAATTTGAAATCATGATGATATAATATATGCATGCATGTGGAGTCTGTTCAGGTTCTCAATAAAAAAAGTTTACCCAATGATTAGCAGCTCCTTCGAAGAAGCATAAGTCGACAAAACCTTTATAGTTCATCATAATGGCGAGGATAATAGATTCTTTAGTAGGTAACTTGAAGATCAAGCAAGACCCAAAAGTAGCAATCCATTTGATGACCAATGTGAAACCCACCAGAAATATGTTAATGCTTATATCATCGAACGCGAAAAAGACCCTTGAAATGTCAGCTTTCATGGTCATTACCACGATTGAAATCGGGAAAAATATGTTTGCAACTAAACCCTCGAACTTGGCCTCTAACGCAGACCCAAGAGGTGGACCATCTGGGATGGCCATCCCGACCAATATAGCTCCTAAAACGTTGATTTGGTGGAAATAAGTTGTGTAAATACTCGCTGCTATTGCGGTCATAATTGTTCCATATACGTAGAGTTCCCGTACGGGTTTGCCTTCTGGACTTGTGTCGACTATCCATTGAGCCGTAGGCTTGATGATGAATAGGATCACAAGGATTAAGATGGTCATTGCCACTGCATCACGGTTGGCTACTCTGGGCGATACATACCTACATGACCGTTTCAAACTATTAGTGTATTATAATAAATCTTCAAAAACGTTATCATCTGAAAGGAAAATTATACTATGTCATCGTCTAGATAATGTAGAACCTCTATAAATTAATATTCGATAAACTAATAATCTCTTTAAATTAATAAATTTTGTTTTGTCCTAATTTGGACCGGTTCAAAATTTGACACCGATAAAATAATAAGATAATAATTGTTTAGAAAATTTTATGTAAATATGTGGTCCCATTAAAATTATAAACTAATAACTATGTATTATATACATATTTATATGCATAAGAATATATCAATATATTATTTTTTATATTCACAACTTTATAATTTTCTTAACATTTATTGTATTTTTGATGAGATTTGGTAATATTATGTCTAAAACTACATTTATAGTATATGCAATATATATTATATACACAAAATAATATAATAAAATTGATATAAATGTCAAACTTTTAAAAATTAATAATTAATGTTTATACAATAAAATCGTATTTTTCTTATTTTAGAAAAAATATTTTAAAATTAAAAAACTAAATAAAGAAACTTTTGTAAATTAATATCTCTATAAATTAATAAAATTTCAAAGTCACAACATTATTAGTTTATAGATATTTTACTCTAGTAAACAATATGGTTATGATATTTTGCTGAGCAAGTTTGTAACCTTAGCAGCTCAAACCTTTGTTTTTTTACAATTTATTTTTAGCGTGTAGGAAGAAAACTTATGAACTCTAATTTAAATACATATATCTGACTTCTTTTCTTATTAGAAAATATTATTGATATTGAGAAAGTGATGAGAAATGCAACAATTAAACCCTAAACTGAGAGGACTGGTTGCATACCTGTATGATGCTACGTAGGAAACGCATTGTAGAGTGATAAATCCTAGGAGATCATTAACGGTGGCAATAGATATGGCTAGGCGGCCGAGCTCCGAGTTTGGAATCTTAAGCTCATATACGAGGTGCGTTATTACCGGTAACAACGTTAACGCTTGAACTGATACAATCACGGTGCGTTCTGTTGGGGCCAGTTTGAGAGGCATATAGAGAGGGTCGGCCTTGTCTATACGAAAATTTCTAAAGGCTAATCCGGCGGTCATAGTCACCACAAAGGATAAGACTGCGATCGCAACCGTGCCTCTACCGATATGAAACACGGCTCTTTTGTTGGTCTTCACGCCCATCAAGAACGTGAACATTATTAAACCGAGCTTGGACACACCTTCTAATGCTATGTTGCCATCTAACTCCACGTCTGATGATAAACGGTACGAAGAAAAATCCTGAAGATCAAATATGTGGCGTCCCAGAAGCAATCCCGTCTAATTAAATAACCAAAGACTTGTTAGTTACTTTCAACACAAGAAATGATGAGATTTGGTATGTTTAAACTTACGATCATGTAAGAAACAAACTGTGGTACGCCAATAAATCTAAGGAACGTATGAGATAAGACGATTAATACGAATATGATGATGATTTGCAATTCAAGAAGAGGCAATCCGTATCCAAAGATGACACTCGGAGTTTCATAATTCTCCAAAATTCCGTATGAAGATATGTTGAAGAAAGCTCGGTAACAAACTGCTGGCCATGGCGCAGGAGTTAGTGCTAGTGATTCGTTCATGAGGATGATGATAAGTATAAGTTATGAAGGGGAATGATTTGTCCTCAAAACTTTTCATATCAACTTTGCTTTTTATTTGTTTCGCTGAATATTTGTTTTTTTTCTGTCTGTTTTTTTGTTTCTTCTCAACGAAAAAAATACTGGTCAAAAGGTTAAAAATATAACAAAAATATTGGAAAAAATCAACAACGTAACTATTTCTTTGAGCAATGTTTGTTTCTAAACCGTTGGCGCGTCCCCCTTGACCAGTTTTTGTTACGTTTGGGCTTAATGGTAGACGGAAGAAGCTAAAAGGTGGCGCACGCACGCGCATGTGAATATTTGTTTTTCGAGAACTACAATGGGCTTTGTGGACACGGGGGTTTACAAAACATGTCTCAGGCTATCTAAAGCTGCCTTGAAATCATTTAATTTGACAATATTGATACTAAATAATATAATGAAATTGATAGAAAATAATTTATAATATTTTTTACATGAGAAATAAATAATAATAATAGTGAACAAGGTGAATCAATTCATGAGTTGGCTGTATTTTTGGCACACTTATGTTACATGGACATGAAGATCCGGCTCCAGATTCTCAGGACCCACCCGAACCGACAAAGAAATGGCTTTGGGTTCTCGAACCTTTTGGGTGTTGGGCTTTGCTAACGACTTCTCACTCATCCCTCCCTAAAACAAAATACTACTGTATTTAATTAAATAAATTATCTCAAAGTTAAAAATCATTCAAGCACACCCCCACAAAGGCGACAAGTAAAAAAACCTCTTTAATTACTAAACTTCAGTTACTACACACAAATTACATTATGAAGCCAGGAAAGAAGAAAAGCAAATCAATGAAGCTAAAGTCTTGAGCTTCAGATATTACATAAGATCAAAGAGAAAAACCTTGAACATAAGAAAAACAAGAAAAGAAACCCTAATTCAACACATCATGGAACCAAAACATGAGTGTGGATATGGTTTGGTGATACAAAAACACAAACAAAAAGAACAAAAAGCATCCCTAAAGAAAAAAAGTAATATAGCAAACTCTCTCACATAGTATTAACTCTCCATTGAGTAAGAGGTTAAACCAGGGGAGTTTTTTTTGTCCTTGTCCTAATGTACAAAAGATCAACTCCCACTTGAACCCTATGTGGGAGTTAATCTTGAAACTGACCTATGTAAATGGTACATCAGATGACTATTAGTACTACAAGTTTAGTAGAAGTAAAGGATCAGCAGCCAGAGTTGTGTTGATTTTCGGTCAGTGGAGAAGAACTTTCTGATACTTAGCCTCTGAATATGACCCATCTGAGAATACTCTCTTCCTGTTGAATTTTCCACACCCATTGTTGACATTAGGGCACTGGACAGTGACTGGAGGGATCTCAAAAGTCTTGAGAGGCGGTGGAGGATGTCGCCATTGAGGTAACGGACCAGCTAAGAGCAGAGTCTGAAGCAAAGGCCCTGCCTTCATAACAGCTTGCAGAAGCTTACCCTTTTCAGGCAATGGCTTGTCTGGAAGCAATGGATCCAAAATCTCAGCTTCTGAGACTTCTTCAAGCTGAGTTGGTTGTGGGTTTATGACATGATCAGTGGGTGACATGAAGCTCTCTTCGCAATCTGAAGAGGAGAAGCTCTTGTTTGATGCTAGTTGTTGTGGCTGATATGTTTCATCATCAATGCTTGACGCTCCGGATAAAGGAGGAGTCATATGCTTCTGTTGTTGAAGTGAATGGTTATCCATCATGAGTCTCTGACATTTTTCGAGAGCTTCGTCTCTTTCTTTAATGGTTTTGGTTAATATGTATTTAAGATGGATGAGTTGTTCATCTCTCTTCCTTATTTCTTCATGAACAAACATTTTTGTTTGTTCTAGCTCGAGTGTTGTGTACAGAAGAGAGTGTCTTAATTCTTCTGTAGTCTGTAAATTTCACATAAGTACAAAAAATATCAATAAATAGAGACACAGAAGAAAAAAAACAGAGGAAAAAGTGTGTCTAAATAAGCTAGATGGGACATAACAGAGGAAAAAAACAGGGGACTCCTACATGAACAGTCACTCATTGATGGCTACTTGTTAAACTCTGTACTTTTGAGATGTGTTATTAACAAATCACAAACTAGCAGGTTAAGAAACTCATTATGAGCAAACTAAGCTACAACATTTGGTGTATGCTTGAGTTCAGAAAAACATGTTCTTCTTAGTTAGTTGATGAATCTTACCAACTAAGTCTTGAGTTCGGGTGTTTATTAAATAGAGCAAAAAGAGAAAAACAATAAAACCTTCAAGAAACTTCTTGTTTTGGACAGACATTATTGGCCAAATTAAGCAAACTCAGAATTTGAAAGAGAGATAAAGCAAAAGCAGAAGAAGAGGACTATTTTGGTGGGAACAGTGGAAACTCAACTTCAGAAACAATGTTTTAAACTTACCTTTCCATGGGCGTAGTAAGGCCAGCCAAGAAGAGCATTGCTATGGTTATCCATAAATTCTACTAAACTGAGCTTACAAAGATTTTGATCCTCTATAAAACTGTGTTAGAGTGAGAGAAAGAGAATGGAGTTTAACATATGGAGGGAAGGACTTATAAATAAGTAAAAACATGTTGGGCTAGCTTTTTTCAGGTACGTAGCTTTCATTCGAGATTTCAATAATTAATCAAATAACTTGAAAAAAATCAAATATCTAAAATAATAAATAAATTAAATAAAATGATAGCACATGATGCCTGCAACATTACCTCAACTAACTCCACTTTATATTTTACCGCGCAAACTATAAGAAAATTATCTATCTGTAGTATAGCTATGAAAATGAAGTGGTTTTAAAATATAACTATTATTATTCAGGTCCTTTTGCAAATCATTCTTGTACATGTTTACATGAAAAATAAAGTGGTTTTAAATATAACTATTATTCAGGTCCTTTTGCAAATCATCCTTATACATGTTTCATGAAATAAGACTAAAATCATTTAAGTGGAAGTTTTAGATATTATATATATATATATATTATGTAGTTTTCGTTTTTCCTTCTTTTGCTGGAAATTTTATATATTTATCGTTTTTCTTCTTGTTTTTCCTCATTCGCCGTAAGTATATGGTGGAAGACCAACAACGTAGTTTACTGACTTTGGTCTCACTCACTCACACTATAGTCCCAACTCTTTACAAGTCTTTTTGTTTTCTTCTTCGTTTTTTTCTTGGAATACAACACGGTTTCTTGTCTTTATCCAAGAAAAATCAAGTGCACCGAAAAGAGCGGGAACGACTGCTTCTAATACCATATTTTTCAATTTTGTGCACAAAAAGGATATGTAGATGAAAGTATATATGTGTATAAACAACTAAAGATGCATGTAGTCAATGAGACGTGGATTCCATGGTCAGCAAAAGAGGCAGGTAACCAAACTTTTTCCACCAATATATTGAGAAAAGTTTGATGGAATCCCTTTTTCAATTATTAAACCTATCACTACTCGTGGAAAAGAAAAAAAAGATTCACATCTTCATTCCCGAATTTAAGTGGAATATTACAGAACCTAAGATATAAAACTGAAAAAAAATATTTAGTTATCAATATAATGACTCAGTTATTTTCTCCAGATATGCGTGTAGATTTAACATGGACTGAGTACATACATTTGCCTTGCTTTTCGGTGTGGAAGAAATACACATAAAGTCGTAAATGACTAATAGATCAGGGTGAGCGAAACTCAATTTTAATATCCTGGGCAAACTATACAAAAATAAATATCCTTAAATAATGAAATGATTAATTGACTTTTACTGCAAGTGGAAGTAAAGTCAGGAAAGTAATATCTCCATATTTGGGTCGCTGGGCATGTGTTGTGTGGTGATCATGATCGATGATCATAATAATATTATCATATAATATACATGTATTGCACGATATGTTCTACTAATTCTGATAGTGGTATACTGGTATCCATTAAAAGAGTTATAGGATTCTCTCGTTCAACAATATTCAGTTAAATAAATATATATAGAAAAGAATGAAAAAGCAATTCCAATAGTAAAAGTAGGCAGACAAGAGTTATCATTTCATGGTCTCTTTCACCAACATTAATCTAAGAGCATGTCAAGAAAACTTTAATTCTTCTTTCTTTTCTCATTGTGATAACATGTTAAGAACTTCTATGTTTTGGCTACGGGCTACCAAACGATAGTGGTATCCGTTAAACAAGAGTTAAATGTTTCCCGTGTGTGTTAGTATTAGATATCTAATGGGAATTGTAGGCTCAATAACTACAAAACTGAATTTTCATCAAATAATCATAAGAAATTAGTCAAAATATGGTGGATATAAACTGAATTATATTTTTAAAATATCACTAGTGAAGAGTGCTTATCATTCTCTCTTATATGAATGAATACGATGACCCACAATATCCAATATCTAAATGCCTTATGAATATGATCGTGTTGGCGATTTCACAACAAACATATTTTACGGATAAGAGCTAATTATACGAAGTCACAAACATGGGAGCTATCCATAAATGAACGGGACATGCTTTGCTTCCATTCTTCACTATCATTATGAATGAAACAAGTTTGTGTGCGTTTTAGTTTAGTCCAATTAATTCACATCCTTAAATTCGATATCAAGTGAAATAGATTGCTTATTTTGTCGGCCAATAATTCAATTCCTCATGATAGTTGTAATGAATGAATGAATAAACTAGTTTGAGAAAGTAAGAAACAAGGTAAACGAACTTACCGTTGTGGCAGTTAGAAAGATTGTCCACACATGCCTTTGAAAATCATTATATATGTTTGTCCTTTCATATGTATGTATATTGGATCGTATTTTACAAGTCGCCATTTGTACACTACATCATACCCAGTTAATATATCTTCCAAAAAAGCAGATGATCTGTTAGAGCTTATAACATTTCAGATCCACAATGTTACTTTTATATTTAATATGGCAGTGTGCTCTTATATTATATCAAAGTTCATATATAGGTACCTAAATCAAAATGTAAAATAAACTGAATATGCTTTCTTATTGATCTCAACTTTTGTACACAAGATATATATACATTCCGTTATGACGGTTTAAACATAAAACCTAGCGGGCTTTAGCTATCGTGGCCCAATACTCCCCCTCAAGTTGGAGCATGAAGATTAAGAATGCTCAACTTGGACACTAAACGCTCAAATTGTTGTCTCCCTAAAGCCTTCGTCAGAAGATCAGCTAGCTGTTCGTGAGTACGGATGTGGGGTGTGGCGATTGTACCATCAAGGACTGCATCTCTGACCGCATGACAATCAGATTCGACATGCTTCGTTCTTTCATGAAAGACAGGATTTGCTGCGATGTAAATAGCTGCCTGATTATCGCAGAAAAGACGAACAGGTTGAGCTTGAGGAAAACCAAGTTCTTTGAGCAGTTGTAGAAGATGCAAAATCTCATCCAAAGTGTGCCTCATAGCGCGATACTCAGCTTCAGCTGAGGAACGAGAAACCTTATCTTGCTTCTTAGATTTCCAGGATATAGGAGAACCACCAAGAAACGTTAAGTAACCAGTCAACGATCGTCGTGACAATGGACACGAGTTCCAGTCAGAATCACAATATGCAGTGAGAGTCAGGTCTGTGTCTGAGCGAAACATAACTCCTTGACCAGCAGTGCACTTGAGAAAGCGAACAATACGTAGAGCAGCTTCCCAATGAGCCTCTCGTGGTGCCTGCATAAATTGTGAGAGTGTATGCACCGAGTAAGAGAGATCTGGTCTAGTGATGAGAAGATAAATAAGTCGGCCAACTAAGCTGCGATAGCGAACTGGATTGACCAAAAACGGACTCTTGTCTTTGCCGAGATCGTGTTGTTGCTCCATCGGAAAATAAACAGGTTTTGATCCAAGCATACCCATATCTCTGACGATCTCCAAAGCATATTTTCGTTGTGACAAAAAAATACCTTCATTGTTGCGAGAGACTTCCAAACCAAGGAAATATTTCAACTTCCCGAGATCCTTCATGTGAAAACATGTTCCCAAATATTCTTTGAAAGAGGTAAGCGCAGCACTATCATTACCGCAAATCAACAAATCGTCAACATAGATGAGAACTCTCAGCTCAATCTTCCCACGAGTATAAATAAAGAGAGAATAATCCGAGTAAGAGTGATAGAAACCGAACTCTTTTAAAGCTGTAGTGAGCTTTTCAAACCAACAACGTGGAGCCTGTTTAAGACCATACAGAGACTTGTGCAGGCGACATACTTTATTTGGCTGAGAGTGACGAAATCCCAATGGCAGTTTCATATATACTTCTTCCTCAAGGTCTCCATGCAAAAAAGCATTATGTACATCCATCTGATGTACCTCCCATTTTTTAACTGCAATGATTTTGAGAAGAGCACGAATGGTGGTGACTTTTGCAACTGGTGCAAAAGTTTCATTATAATCTTCTCCTTCCACTTGATGATTACCAAGTACAACCAGTCGTGCCTTAGGACGTTCAATCGTGCCATCAGCTCGATATTTGTACTTATATACCCATTGATTTCCGAGAGCTTCTTTACCTTCAGGGAGATCAACAATACTAAAAGTTTTATTTTTCTCAAAAGCATCAACTTCAGCAACCATTGCATCTCGCCAAATCTTGTCTTGTAATGCCTCTTTGTAACTCTTAGGTTCCACTCCTGCGAGAATCGCTGCCAAGAATACTTGGTGGCCTGAAGAGAACACCGCATCAGACATGTAATGTTCAAGAAGATAAGGAGTATTACCTGAGACCGTAGAGGACAAGTCTGACGAGTCGGTGGAGACAGGAGCCGGAAGTGTATTATCAATGCAGCGGACGTGATACAGCATATAATCATCAAGTCTCTTTGGTGGTTTTCGTGTGCGTTGACCACGGTCCAAAATAGCAGCCGGAGGAGGATCATCGACCAGTGCTGGAGTCGACTCATCATTGGCTGCGTGAGAACCAGTAGAAGGAACAATTGCTGAATCATCAGGTATGTGTACCGGAGCTGTCTCGTTTGTAGAAGTATCCTGCGTACTCAGGTCAGGGGGGGAAGTAACTGTCTCGATCACTGGCTCATTAGGAAGAGGAGTTACTGATGAAATATCGCCTTGCACAGGCGGAGATGAGTTGTCATCAAGCTCGACCGTACTCCCCCTGTCCCTCGTATACAGGTTATCAGGATTAACAATCCAATCATCATCGGCCATGTCAAGTGGATCTGGCAAGTCGTTAATAACACCACCAACTTTATTTCGATATGGGAACTCATCTTCGCGGAACACAACATCACGAGAAACCAAAAATTCTCCAGTGTCTAAATCATAGACTTTCCATCCTTTCTTCCCAAATGGATATCCCAAGAATATACAGNGTTATCAGGATTAACAATCCAATCATCATCGGCCATGTCAAGTGGATCTGGCAAGTCGTTAATAACACCACCAACTTTATTTCGATATGGGAACTCATCTTCGCGGAACACAACATCACGAGAAACCAAAAATTCTCCAGTGTCTAAATCATAGACTTTCCATCCTTTCTTCCCAAATGGATATCCCAAGAATATACAGTTTCGACTGCGCGCACCGAACTTATCTTTGTCACGAGAGCGACGATGTGTGAAACAAGCTGAGCCAAATACTCTCAAATGATCATAGGTCGGCTTGTTTCCAAAGAGAACTTCGTGTGGGGTAAGACCATTGAGGATCTTCGTCGGTGTAAGGTTAATGACATGAGCGGCAGTCAAGATAGCTTCTCCCCAAAATTTAGTTGGCAAATTTGCTTGAAACAGAAGAGAACGTGCAACATTAAGAATGTGTCTGTGTTTCCGTTCCACACGACCATTTTGCTGCGGTGTGCCAACACAAGACGTTTGATGAATAATGCCTTGTTGTTGAAAGAAAGAAGTCAAACACATAAATTCAGTGCCGTTGTCGCTGCGAACCGACTTGACACTTAAACCAAACTGTTTCGCAGTGTAGGCACAGAAATTTTGCAGAACTTGACGTACCTCTGATTTTTCCAACAGAAGATGAAGCCATATAGTTCTAGAATAATCGTCAACGATTGTCAAAAAATAAACAGCACCGCACGTAGATGGAGTACGGTATGGTCCCCAGACATCAACATGAATCAAATCAAAACATGCTTTAGTTTTATTGAAACTATCATAAAAAACTTCTCTTGTTTGTTTAGCCCGGAAACAAACGNCTCTGATTTTTCCAACAGAAGATGAAGCCATATAGTTCTAGAATAATCGTCAACGATTGTCAAAAAATAAACAGCACCGCACGTAGATGGAGTACGGTATGGTCCCCAGACATCAACATGAATCAAATCAAAACATGCTTTAGTTTTATTGAAACTATCATAAAAAACTTCTCTTGTTTGTTTAGCCCGGAAACAAACGTCACAAGGACCCGGGGTAGACGATTTTAAAACATCAGAAAATGGCAAAGATGAAAACACTGAAAACGCTGGATGTCCCAACCGCTGATGCCACAAAGTCTGATTAGAAACGACTCCTACTCTGTTAGCGCGAACTGTTGCTACATCCGTTAGATAATACACTCCGTCCCGTTCTTCACCGGCTCCAATCAGGGTCCTCGTGAAACGGTCCTGGACAATACATAGAGTGTCAGTAAACATCGCAAAGCAGTTCTTCAATTGCTTAAGCAGTTTAGACACAGAAATCAAAGAGCAATTAAGATCTGGAACATAAAGAACATTAACAAGTGAGACGGCATCAGTGATAGGTAATACTCCCATACTAATGGAGTATGTCTTACTCCCATCCGCAAATCCCACTAAACATGGAGATGTCTCAACAAGATCAACAAGTAAAGACAGATCCCCTGTCATGTGATGGGAAGCGCCGGTGTCGATAATGATGTCACCCGAGAACTTACCCGAAAGCTTGTCTTGCGTCGCACACTCGGTTTTCTCTTGAGCAAGCAAACTGATTGCTTTCCATTGATCTGCAGTAAGTTCAGGAAAGGCAGAGGAATGCGAAGAAGTTGCATGAGCGACGTTTGCTAAGGCTTTTCCACGACCTGTAGCTGATCCCGAGCCTCCACGACCACCGCGATTGCTTCCTCTTCCACCAGTACGAGCATTGCGCTCAGTGACCCATTCAGGATACCCTGTTAGTTTCCAGCAGAAAGCTTTCTCGTGTCCGGAACGACCACAGTGAGAACAGAGCAATCGATCTCTGCTCTTGCCGGAAACGGAGTCAACGCGTAGCTCAGAGCCAGAAGCATCTCCACGTGTAGCAAATCCAACAACATCTGCTGATTCTCGTGACTTAGAAGAGTTAAGTCTGTGTTCTTCCCTTATAACTCGAGAGTACACTTGTTCCAAATCTGGAGATGGTTCTGCATCGATGATGGAAGTAATCACGTTTGCAAAACGAGATTCATCAAGGCCCATAACAAATTGCTGTACTTTCTCTTCCTCCCTTTCTGCAGCAAATTTTGCAGAGGCACCGCATGTACACGTCGGAATGGGTTTGTAGGCGTAGAGTTCATCCCACATCGTCGCCATTCTTCCGTAATAATCAATTACGGATTGACCATCTTGACGACAAGCTGCGAGTTGAGCTCGGAGATGATGAACGCGAACCTTGTTGCCCACGGAAAATCTCTTCCTTAAGCTCTCCCATAACTCACGTGCGTTTGTAAGAAACGATACCGTAGTTCGAACCCGAGGAAAAATCGAGGTTCGAAGCCATCCAATGACCATCGAATTAACCGATGTCCAAGAATCCAAATCAGCTCCAGCAGTCTCCGGTTTGGCAATCGAGCCATTAACGAACCCAATCTTCTTCTTAGCGCTAAGAGCGTTTAACATCTCAGAAGACCACTCATTATAGTTATCTCCGGTTAATGAAACAGAAGTTATCATTGCCCCTGGATTATCATTAGGGTACAACGAATATGGTGTAACCACGCCGGAATCACCAGCATACTTTGTTACAGCTCCGTCTTTACTCATGATGCTGAGTATTAAGACTTGTTTGATCAGAAAACAAGCTCGAGCAGAAGAGAAGCTCTAACTTGGAGGGAAAATAAAAGATAGAAAGAAAAAACGGAGAAAGCAAAAATTAGGGTTTCAGGATTTTGTGCTCTGATACCATGTAAAATAAACTGAATATGCTTTCTTATTGATCTCAACTTTTGTACACAAGATATATATACATTCCGTTATGACGGTTTAAACATAAAACCTAGCGGGCTTTAGCTATCGTGGCCCAATACAAAATCGACTGGTAATGAGTTGATGTATCTTTTTATTCAATATGTAAGGCTCTTAACAATTAGAAAACCAGATAGAATAATATAACTTTTTCGATAAGGCTTGTATAATCATGAATACTAAATTATCTAACCCAAAAGTATATATACTGTTGGTGTGTGTGATAAAGTCTATATGTTTCTTGGGTTTTCGATAGTTGTAGTATGTGGACGTCGACTTCTCATTTTATGTAGACTTGTCCAATAGTCAGTTGTTCAAGTAAGCAGACAACTATTCGACCTAATTACACCTATTTAGTGTTTTTTTTTTGTTTTCTTCTCTCCAATATGTTATATATGGAGAATTTTGTTGCCTGGTTGGGCCATCTCACATTGTTGGACCATTTTAGTCGGCTCGTGTTTGAAAACATGAAAAATGGGATTTAAAGAAACTTTCTTTTCTGGACCAACACACTCTTAACAAGCCAAGAAACTGTGTTTAGCCATGGCTCAAAGTTGGGACTGATAACGGGAAGAATTCCAGATTTTGGTTTGATGACATTGACTAGTCCCCTTACGGTAATCTCTCTTCGCTATTTGCTCCAAAGGATCGTAGACAAGTTGGATTTCCGTTGTCAGCGGCTTTGGACAAGCTTTGGTGTAACAGTACTTAGCTGCTTCCTCCTGCACGGCCAGAAAATTGAGTGTGCAAACTTTTTTAATCAACACTCTGACATAAGTTGAAGACTCCCTAGTTTCTCTAGATAATTGTTGACTAGCTGTTTTGCCCGCACTTGCGAGCCTAAACATTTTATAATTTTTTTATTACATTTTTTACTAATTGAAAATTTATAATGATAAAGTATTATTTATGTTTTTTTTTTTTTGAAATCAATAATATTTATATTTTCATTTAAACATTCTTACATGTATTTCTTTGTACATTATGTTCCCTACTAAAAATAAATCATCTTAAAATAAAAATAACTTTTTTCTTTTCAATTATATAAAATTAAGATGTTTACTTGATTAATATTTAATTATGTATATCTATTTTTTTAGTAAAATATATCTGGGACAATTGCACAAATACCATTTTTGTGATACCACAATTCAACTTTACCACTACTCAAGGGACATTTTCATAAATACACAATTCATTAATGAAAAAAGACAATACTACCCTCTCCTATCTTCTCTTCTATTTTCTTTCTATCGTTCTCCGACGGCCAATTTATCATTTCCAGAAGCTGTGAGGGCGAGCTCCGCCTCTGGCCGTTCTTCTCCGATCTCGATGAGCTTCTCCGGGACGTCTAGCTATACTCCTGATAATAACAGCCAGAGAATTCCCTCGCTGCTGATGTCGATTGTACCGTTCCCGTCGCTCCACGATCGACGATGACGAGACTTCCGGCGGCGGCGGCGATGATCGAGAATACACTCACGAACCAGACAAGATCTGAGTAAGCTTAGGGTTGGCGAGGAGGATATTCAGACTTGTGAAGAGAGGTATAATAAGAGCAACTTGTTCATTCTATCATGCGTCATGTTGCTGAGACTCTTTCTATTGATTTGGAGGTGAGTAAAATCGAATCTTTTAGGGATGTTGATTGTGGAGATTCTGAAATTAGTGGGAAGTAGCTAACTTTGTGTCTGTGGTAACTGTTATAGTTTACTGATGTAGTCTTTGAGTACACATTGGTTTGAGTCTCTGTGTATAGTGTAAAGTAGCTACCTTTGTGTGGTTATGCTTAGGCTTGGAACTGTTATATCTTGGTTATTAGATCTCTTCATCTACAGCTGTTATAGTTTTATCTACAAGCTGCTTGGATGCAGAGGCTTCTTATGGTTTCTCCTATTATGACCCTACGATTGCTGAGCTTAGGGAACAAGCAGCTCTATCTTACTTTGGTTGCGTGTTTCAGCCATCTGATGAAGAAGCTGAAGCTTTCCAGATTACTCAAAAACCAAATTCGCCATTGCAGAAAGTTCCTGAGGCATTAGATTTCAGGAACAGAAGAAGAGACGCAGCTGTGTTTGCTATAAACAATGCTTTGGTCAAGTACAACAATGCTCCCATTGGTGAATGTCTAGAGGATTCACCCGATGCCTTTGCTTGGTACCGATGAGAATAGGGATGGTACTGTGCAGGAGGCTGAGATCTCACCTGTGATTGGAAACTTTGAGGTTAAGGCTTATCCACAGTTACTGAAACTGTGTGGTGATATGGACTCAGCAGGGCTCCATAAGTTTGTATCAGACAACCGCAAGAACCTTGCATCACTAAAGGAGGAGATTCCTGTGGCGTTCAAGGCTGCAGCAAACCTGGCGAGCTTGGTGTTGAACTCTTTGGAAGGTTTTTACCCCATGGAGGCACCAAACACTGATGGGAAGAAAGACGCTAACCTCTTGGGGATGCGTAGGACCTGTATCATGTTGATGGAGTGCCTTAGCATACTGTTATCTGGTTTAGACAGAAACTCCCTTGCTGCTGTTCTTCAAAAGATGTTAAGCAGAGAACAAAAGCTATTGCTGAAGGATGGAATCCACTGCTGGGAAATCTTGAGATGGATGCCTGCAATGGTAACTCTTTGGAGGCGCATGCGGTCCTGCAACTACTGGCCACTTTTGCTATTGTTTCCGACTTTTAAGAAGAGGAACTCTTGTAGCTGATCCCTATGGTTTCACGTCGCTGTCAGGCAGCTGAGCTTTGCCTTTCTCTTGGGTTGTCTGAAAAAATGCCTAGTTTGTTCTCTAATTTTAAAAATATGGCTTGTTATCATACATGTTTTGACATTTTGATGTGAAGGTTGATGTGTGGTATTTAGTGAGTTAACTCAACTCTTTGGTCAAGGATCTAAAGATAAGATGAATTTGTATGTTCTAACGTTTGTAGTGCACATCAAAGTTATCTACCTTCACCATTAGTCCTATCTCTTGAACAGTGGGAAACAGATTGATGCGGTTTTGCATTTGGACTCCAAGAACAGTTCCAACCTGTCGAGTTACTGAAATCTTACTTGACTGAGGCAATGAGATCTGGCAATGCATCTGCTGCTCAGGCTAGTTTTCCCTTACTTGATAACTTGCATTATACATCGATGTGTATTATAATAGAATTGATAGGGTATAAGAACTTTGAATGTACGCTGTGTTGCAGGTCAGGGATAACAGAACAGACTGGGTTCTCAAAGTGAATGAACCAATAGCAGGAAACTACTATCCGGTAAACTATTGATGTGAAAACTTTGGAGTAGATCAATCAAATGTTGAGTAAGTGTTAATAAAAGGATTGTGTTGTGTGAGTAATATTCAGCTTAATCTGGGAATCTACACAAAAGACAAGAAANACTATTGATGTGAAAACTTTGGAGTAGATCAATCAAATGTTGAGTAAGTGTTAATAAAAGGATTGTGTTGTGTGAGTAATATTCAGCTTAATCTGGGAATCTACACAAAAGACAAGAAAGTAGAGTTGTCGGTGCTGGTTGATAGGGCTACTGGTGGTGGTAGTATCAAAGACGGTGAAATAGAATTGATGCTCCACAGATTCCAAAATTCATCTTATATGTAGACTTGAATTTAAATGAAAAAGAAAGCAAGAAACATTGTTGTTGTTTTTTTTGTGTGGCTGAAAACGTGGAAACAGGCGCACTTGCATGGATGATTCGAGAGGAGTGGAGGAGAGCCTTGAGGAAACTGTGTGTATCAATGGTACATGCACAGGATTAAGGGTATATAATTTACTTGCAGGCCGGAGAAGAGAGTGATCAATTCAATAAAAGATTATTAAACTCTTTTAATATTTTGTATAAATCTTTATAAATAGATTTATAAACCTTGTAAATAGATTTATAAACTCTTATAAATGGGTGATAAGTTCTTGTACATGGTTTTATAAACCCTTATAAATAGTTTTATAAATCCTTATAAATAGTTTTCAAAACTTTATAAAATGATTTTAAACTTTCATATTTGATTGATCAACTCTTATAAAGCTATGAACATAAACGAAAAAGCTCTTATAAACCCTTACAAGATGATTTAAAGCATTGCAAAATCATTTATGAATTCTATAACTACACATACATTCATGATGCATTTGGTTAGAAAATGATTTTGGTAAATAATTTTAAACACTGATAAGAGCATTATAAACACTTATAAATACCTTTATAAGGATCCACTTATGAATTTTTGTAAGAATTTATATATTTTTATTAATGATTTATAAACTCTTCTAAATGAAAACTCTTCTAAATGAAAACTCTTATTAATTGTTTTATGAAGATTATTAAACTCTTTTAATATTTTGTTTAAATCCTTATAAATAGATTTATAAACCTTGTAAATAGATTTATAAACTCTTATAAATAGGTGATAAGTTCTTATACATGTTTTTATAAACCCTTATAAATAGTTTTATAAACCTTTATAAATAGTTTATAAATATTTATAAGTTTTTTATCAACTTCTTAAACGGTTCATAAACTCTTATAAACACACGTAAATAGTTTTATTAATCATTATAGATGTTTCGTTCTTGCAAACATAAATAATCCATCTATAAGGATTTATAAAGTCATTTATAAGGGTTTATAAATTAACTCATAAAGGTTAAAGTAATTTATAAGGGTTTATATATTAACTAATAAGGGTTTATAAATTAATTTATAAGAGTTTACAAAAAACATATAAGGGTTTATAAATCAATTCATAAGAGTTTATAAATTATTTTGTAAGAGTTTATATAATCATTTTAAGAGTTGTTAGAGTTTATACAAAAATATAAGGTCGTACAAAACCATTCAGTTACTTAAAAAAAAATTTTTAAAGCATCATGGATGTATGTTTAATATTAAGAATTTAAAAATAATTAATAAGGATTGATAAATAAATTATAAGGGTTTATAAAACATTTTGCAAGAGTTAATCTCTATAATATTATTTGAGAAGTCAGTTTCCTATGTGTCGCTCTCACGTTCATTCTCACGATGGTTGATTACACTGATACCCTTAATGAATTAAAAATAGTTAAAAATAGTATTATTAATTCTTTTATTTAGTTTCCTTTTCAAAATCTTCCAAAAATATATGTAATAAAAAGGAAATTATTTATAAAGTCATAAAAAATAAATTGAAAACGAAAAAATATATGTATATATTATATGATTTCATAGAAAAAGAAAGTTCACAAAATAGTAATAATGCATTCAAAAATAATTTTTAAATAACATAAAATATACTTTTAGAGTAATAAAAATAGTTTATAATTAGTATTATTGAAATATTTACTTATATAATATTATTTTCAATACAATCAAAATTTTATGTACTACTTCTTTTTAAGAGATATTAAAACTAAAAATAAATTTAAAAATAAACATCGCTTGATTAAATAATTAACAATTAGTCTAATGAGCTATATACATGATATTTTATCATTATTAAAATTATTTGTTTTTAATATTAAATTTTCTTTTCAATTTTATGTTTTTATTTTATGAAACTAAATATAACCATTAAAATACCAAAGAAAATCTTAACTCTCACTTTTAAGATTATCTAAAATAAATTTCAGTTTACATTCAATAAATCTAAAGCATAAAGTTATTTAGAATTTATAAATATTTTAATTATTCTAAATATTGATGTGTGTTCATGAGCTTCCAAAAATGTATCAACTACTTATGCATGTAATCCTCTATTGATCATAGGATAACTCAAAATATATTAACAAATGAAAATAAATATTAACCAACTCTTAAAATTTTAGTTATTTTGTAAAATTTATATATATGCATGAGACTTTATAATATTATCGTTATATTAATTTACGTATTTTGGAATCAGACAATTTAGTTAATTTCTAATTCATTCTAAACACAATATATCTTAAGTTATACATAATTTTCCTAAAATATATTTACATATTTAAGACAACACCCACTATATGCAAATAATTAATTAATTAAAAATTAATATATTTTAAAATACTACAGCTGAATTCAAAGATACAATCCAATTTATCCAAATGATAACTAAATCAACCGTAAAAATAACAAAATTGACTAGATATAACATATATAAAATTATAGGATAATTAAATTAATATAATATTATTAATTTAAATGATGCATATAAATTATAAATTAATTTAAATTTAAAACTAAATAGTAATCATTTATTATCATATATTTACTTTAAATATATTTATACCCGTGCATGAGCACGGGAAAATCACCTAGTATATTATATATAAAAGCGTATATATCATTTATAAAGGCTTATAAGAGTTCATGAACTGATTTATAAAATTTTATAAACTATTTTATAAGATTATATTTTGATTTACAAGAATGTATAAATTGATTCATAAGGGTTGATAAATTGATTTATAATACTTTATAAAACATATACTGGAGTCTATAACTTAACTATAAATATTTATAAACTAATTTAAGGTTTTATAAACAGTTATAAATCAAACTTATAGACCATTATAAATAAAATATGTGGTTAATCAGAATGTTCTATATATTAGTTTAATAAGTAGTATTTCATAAATTAACAAATAAACCTTAATAAATTAGTTTTTAAACCCTTATAAATATGTTTAAAATTCTTATAATCAAATTATAAACCTTTATAAATCATTGTATGTCTTTATAAACACTAATAACTCATTAATAACTCATATAATTCAAATTAATCTTATAAAATTATTAAATAAACTTATAAATCTTTATAAATAATTTTATAAGTTCTTATAAATAAGTTATACTTCTTACTATAAATTTTTATAAATCAGTCATTCCAATATATGAGCCAAGATCTGAACTACCAATAACAAGATACCATGCTCGAATATGTATGTTTATAAAGGTTTATTAAACCAATCATATGGATATATAAAATAGTTTTGTATATAAATCATTTATAAGAGTTTGTAAAACCGGTTATGAACCATTTTAAATTTTATAAGATTTTATAAAACCTTGTATGAACCATTTATGAAGTTTATAAAACATTTATAACTATTTATAAAACTATTTATAAGGGTTTATAAAACTATTTATAAAGGTTTATAAAACTATTTACAAGGGTTTAAAACCATGTACAAGAACTTATAACTCATTCGAGCATGGTATGTTGCTACATGTACAATCATAACCCATTCGAGCATGGTATCTTATAACATACCAGTACAAGAACTTATAACTTAAGTTACCATGCAAGGGTTTACATGGTAATTAGGATACAAGAAGGTCTATGACTGTGTGCTTCTTTGACAACTGTATTGTATATTGTAAGAACATCTTCCAAGTATCAGATTTAGATATTCACGATGCGCTTTTGGATCAGTACGGTGGGTTTGGCTTTTTTTCTTTTTTCTTTTCAAATTGTATAGTACTATAACAATTTACCTTTTGTTTCTGAGAATTATGAGGTTAGATATGAATTTCACTTTATATTTTGAGTTACCAAAAGAAAAAAAAAGATATGAATTTCACTTTTTCATGTTCATCATGTATGCTTACCACATACTATTACTGTATGTCTATCGAAGTTTTAGAAAACATCACTTTCATTACATCAGTCTGCTGTTAAAATTCAAAACCTAACAAAGTCTTTGGAGCACAAACCATAAAACACACATTACTCTTGAGATTAATTTCCAGATGGCCTTCCATTAATACCTTGAGGACTGTTATTGTTACCTTCCTGAGATCCTCCAAACATCTGCATCATTGATCGCAATGCACCTGAAAACTCTTCAGGCATTCGATCCGCAGCGCCAAGATCTATATTGATGTTTCCGCCTACACGAATCTCATGCTCATTTGTACCATTTATGTTACCATCTCCTCCTCTGTTTCCCGTCATGTTCATGAACATGCTCATCATATCAGGGTTTAAAGGCATCGAGAACTGAGAAGGTATTCCTTGCCCTCCCATTCCTGGATCTTGATTATGTCCCATGTTTGTATTGTGCTCTTACAACACCACAAAACCGTTAGTTCCTTTGGTTTTCTACTACTCCAAGTGATAAATTTTACCTGATTACGTCTCTGTCGTTGTTCTTCTTCTCTTAGTTTTTTTTCAGCCACCTGTGTTTTCCAAATACGTCAATATCACAGTCTCATCAAGTTACAGAATGATCATAATATTTTGGTCAATGGATAGCATGATGACACAAAGGTTATAAATGAGAAAACTATGCAATAAAATACACTGGGAAAATAGTTCAAACTTCAAAATCAATCAGTCTATATAATGATTCAGTAACATGGGAACTGAATGTTACTGGACATACTGAAGGGGACGAAGAAACTATCTTAACTCAGATTCAGTAGAAAAAAAGGCTGATCGCAGGTTCTAGTTAGAAGTCTATAAATATTTATAAAGGTTTATAAATAAACAACTTCCCATGTTATCCAACATAGCAAGAGAATCTTTGGAAATAACTCAATATCAAAATAGCAACGAGAGGAGTAAAAGGAACACACACCAGGTAGCTTCTTGGGCTTCCTCATGGGAACAAATTTGCACCAATAGACAACACAATAGGTGCACGACTACTACCTTCCTAAGTAAACCAATCAACAACCGAGCAAGACTACTACCTAACTAGTTGCATTGAGTGTTGAAGAAAGTAACGGTTCTTGAGTTGAAACCAAATATACTTAAAAGAGCCATCGATCCAATATATACTAAAGTATAATGGAATAGCTCAGAAAGTTGAAACCAAATATACTTTTTTTGCAGTACCATATAACAAATTTCTCAAAGACCAAAACTTTCTCAAACTATAGTATCAAAATTGGAGTCTTTTAAGTTTATAAATTATATTTCAAAAGATAAAAGGGTATATGAAAGTTAAAACCTTTTGTAGCAGCAGATGATGAAGCTTCAGGCTGGCAATTTCCATCTTCCAATGTCTTCTGCAATTTACAGATCTCCCTTTCCATGTTCTTAGCTTTTTTGTCTCTGCTTCCTAGAGAAAAACAAAAAACAAAACAAAAGGACCAAATCATTTACAAACAAATAAACACAAAATTGACCCCACAAAGACACAATCCAAAAGAAAGAACAATCAGAGAATAATCAAAGGGGTTTACTTTCACTTGCTTCAGCTCAGCCGCCATAGTCACCATGTTCCGCCTGAATCTGTTTAAAGCATCCGATCAAATCTCAGAAACTATGTCATGAAGAAGAAGAGAAGGAATAAAACTATATTCAATGCATGTGAAAAAATCTAGAATTATTAACATACAAGAATACAAAGAATGGATCATTAAAGTATGAACTTTTTTTATAATATGTGAAGAAAGGCTCAAGAGCTTCAACGATGCAAACCCATTCCTTTTCTTCGTAAGTTCCAAATCCTAGTTGCCCATCTTCTCCAGCGCCCCTGTACAAAACACAATCAAAAGGAAAAAGAGCAATAAGTAAGAAGAAACATCAATGGAGAAGAAGAAGAAGAGGAGGAGATCTCTCTGTCGAGGCTGATTTTGGCTGAATTTGGTCTGAGAAGAAGAGATTCTTGTGAGAAAGGAGAGAGAGAGAGAGGAAGAGGTTTCACAAGAGTCACCTCTTCCGTAAGGTTTCCAAATTTGATACCTTTTTTTCTAATGGCGGAAGCAACAATTAGCAGAACGAATCTGTTGATCGGAAGAGCTTGTGTGAATCACCACAAGAATGTAAATGATTTCTCTATCTCACCGGTGAGCTTTGGTTTGAAAAAGAGTTTCTCTTCTCTCAAGCTGAAGCCTCTGAAACAGATAGATACTCAATTTCAGACCTTCACAAGAAGCTCCGCGGCTCGACGGACCTCGCCGTAGCTTCGTCGCATCTCGCCGTAGCTTCGTAGGATCTCGCCGTAAAACTCTTCAGCGTCGCCTGATCTAGCCGGAGAAATCATCACCTCCGGAGAATATATCGGCTGTCGATTGAATCTGAGATAAGAGTTAGTTTTAGACTTAATTAGTCGAGGGTATATAAGTACTTTGTCAATTAAAATTCTAATGGTAAAGTTGGTTAATGTATAAATGAAATGTGGTATCATGAAAGTGCTATATTTGGCAATTTCCCAATATATCTTCAGATAACAACACAATATATATAGGAATTATCTTATTTAAATGCATATTATTTAGATTTTGGATAGTTCTTATGATTATTATTAATTTTAATTATTTAAATAATCAAAATAATTTAAATCTGTTTTTATTAATACATCTTTTACTAATTGAAAGATTATAATAATAAAGTATTGATTGTGTTTTATTTTTTGAAACCAATATATTTCTTTGTAATTTATGTTCACTATTAAAAATAATTTTAAGATCAAATAATATTATGTATTGATTGTGTTTTATTTTTTGAAACCAATAATATTTATACTTTCATTTATCAATTCTTACATATATTTCTTTGTAATTTATGTTCACTATAAAAATAATTTTAAGATCAAATAATATTTTTTCAGTAATATAAAATTAAGAAGTTGACTTGATTAATATTTAGTTATGTATTTTCTATTGTTTTAATTGTTAACTTTTTATCAAATATACTTTCAGATAACATCACACTATATATCAGAATTATCTTATTTAAAAAGATATTATTTAGATTTTGGATAATTCTTATGATTATTATTAATTTTAGATTAAAATAATTTAAATCCGTTTTTATTAATACATCTTTTACTAATTGAAAGATTATAATGATAAAGTATTGATTGTGTTTTATCTTTTGAAACCAATAATATTTATACTTTCATTTAACAATTCTTACATATATTTCTTTGTAATTTATGTTCACTATTAAGAAATAATTTTAAGATCAATAATATTAAGTATTGATTGTGTTTTATTTTTTGAAACTAATAATATTTATACTTTCATTTAACAATTCTTACATATATTTCTTTGTAATTTATGTTCACTATTAAAAATAACTTTTAGATCAAATAATAGTTTTCATTAATATAAAATTAAGAAGTTGACTTGATTAATATTTAGTTATATAGTTTCTATTGTTTTAATTGTTAACTTTTTATCAAATATATTTTCAAATAATATCACAATATATATCGGAATTATCTTATTTAAAAAGATATTATTTGGATTTTGGATAATTCTTATGATTATTATTAATTTTAGATTAAAATAATTTAAATTCGTTTTTATTTTATATGTAATATATATATTATTTTCATTAAGGGTATAAACGATATTAACCACTCCAACTTTTAACGTGAACTTTTTTTAGCAAATATATTTTCAGATAATATCATAATATATATCGGAATTATCCTATTTAAAAAGATATTATTTGGATTTTGGATAATTCTTATGATTATTATTAGTTTTTGATTAAAATAATTTAAATTCGTTTTTAATTATATAATTAGTTATATATAAAAAATTCATTAAAGGTAAAATAGATATTAACCGCTCCAACTTTTAATGTGAGAACTCCGTTATGAAAAATTACTTTGTAAATAATAGTATAGATTTCCCCCCAAAGCCGGCCTCACCAGGCTTCATATTAAAGTAATAATATATGATAATGCTTGTTAATAATTATGTTAGAAACTACGATCTCACACAATAGTTTGTGTTCTGTAGAGTATTGGGCTTTGGTATGGTATACTTTCTTGAATCAAAATCTTAACAATTCTAATTCATTAGAACATGGTCTTTTGCATTTGAACCTTATGAGAAGGTTCTTCACCGAGGGGTATAGCCCATCTCTGAAGCCCAAATGTTTACAATTGGTTGCAAAGTCCTTCAAGTCCCATTTTGAGTCATCCATGAGTCACTAAATTACATGTTTGTAGCAGTTGAACAAATGACCATATTCATATCACTAATTAATAATTATTGGATTAGTGATGATTTGATCAGTATAGCACATTAGTAACTTTTAAATGATGAAATTCTTGTTCACAACCTACGGGAAACATAACATGTTTTGAATGCGTTGCCAATTGACATATTACAACATCAGCGTCAAACATTGCTACGACGTCAGTTGATAAGAACCTTGTGTACATAAATACAACTTTAATGTTATCGAGCATCTTTGTGGAATCAAGAAAGGTTATAAGGTATAGAAGCTGCTCGTTTACGTACAAATGTAATGGTTGTGAAATTCATTTTCTCAATGATTTCTAGCTTCTTCCTTATGATTCAAGGATAAGCAACACCTAACCAAACATATTGCTTCGATTTAAATATTTCTACAATGTATACATATATTTTATATGTATGTAAATGATAATTTAATGTGAAGAATAATAGTAGTATTGCTTAGTCATGAATGCCTTGTGAATAAATTGACAGCAAAAGACTAAAATATCTCCTAACCATAGGATATTTATTACAAATAAATAGCATCCGAAGAAAACAAATAGTCACAAGAGGCATAAAACTATATGAACAATCCTAATTTTAATATTCTATATAGGTTTGGTTTATGAATCAGCCTTGTAGTTTTGCATTAACATTGTTTTGTGTTTTGCATTAACATTGTTGTGTAGTTTTGTATTAAAAACGATGTTGTGTCACAATCCCCAGATGCAAATTCAGATTAGATACATAAATCCGGTTTTAATATATTTTTCAAAGCTGAGTAGATGCATGTAAATCCAATGCTGTCTCTTTGTATATAAATATACACATAGCCTTTTTTATGTCTAGGTGAGTAAATGTGTGAAACTGTGAATTGGGTTGGTTACAATATTAAATGTTCCATTTAGTATAGCTTACTCATACTGCCTATATACAGTATGTGATTAGAAAGCGCAACATAGTAGCTGAACTCTAATTAAGTAATAAATACATCAACAGAAACGTTATTGATCAACCGTTTTTGACATTGGTCCGATAACTTTGATATCCAAAGATAAAGTGAATTCTCATCCATGTGGCTGTGAAGGTCAGATTTGTTTCGCCGTTACAATGACAAGATTCAAAACTTTGTATTGTGAAGTCACTTAACCAATCACGTTAGTCACGTATAAGTTCTTTTAGACAAAATCACGTTGAGAAATTTGGCCACTGATGAGAGCAGAAGATAATTATTTGTCTTATCAAGTGGGCATAGTTATGCCTAAAGAAAGATTTCTAGCTTTCACCGGCTCAGGATTTGTCCGTGTTCTTAACCACTTTTCCTAAGTCTTAACCACTTGTCTCCTGCGTAGCATAACTGACTGGTGTGATGATTAGTTGACCATTAATGGAACTATGATTAATCAGTAATTCCTTCGTTTCCCCATGTTAAGAAGTTTTTAAGTACTGTATCATTCAAAGTAATTTGTTACTCCACTGAAAGTGAATAAACAAAGAGTATACAAAAAAAGTTCATTGGGCCATAACAATGGTACATCCTCATTATAACCAAACACTTTCCATAGGCAGTAAAAAAGCGAATCAATATAACCTTACAAAGAAAATGGAAATTTTTGTCTGTAACTTTGTAAATATACACTGCACTTATTCTCCCCACACCCAGTGGCCAGTGGGAAGTGCCCTTGTAAGCTTTTTAGATACCCTTTGCACTTCTTTTCAAGCCCCACACTATAATGTATGAATGTATTTGTTCGAGTACATATTTTACTACTTATCCTCAGCTTGATATCCGAGTTTAAAAACTGGTACATTAATACTAATTTTGTGATAAAGTACGATGTATGTGTCTGGTTCTTCACTTTCAAAGAGCCCAGCTATAAAATATCAGGCTAATTTTCCCTATGGAGCAATCATATTTATTTGGTTTAGTAGTATTTTTCTTATATATATGCATCCCATTTTTCTATATTAATTTTTGAAGTTAGGAGTACATGATAAGCTAACTTCACACAACCACATGAGAGTTTATTAAGTGATAAACAAAAATCCCAGCTAACTTCTAATTATCACACATTCTAAACAAACAAACAAACAAAAGGCTTCCAATAATTAGCTAAAAATATCCAAAACGACAGTCATTAGCTTATCAAGAGACCCATTTATGAAGCACATGCCCTCTCCCCAACTTACCCAAATGCGCAAAGTAATAATTACATGGGTATTATCGTCATGTCACATTTAACTGGTACGGTTACGAGACGACCAAGCGATGAACCCGAGACCATTGCCGAGCTCCATTCTGCTCCATTGCATCGCCATGTGACCTCTTTCTCTCTCTTTATCTCTCTTCTCTGAAAAAATTATTTTTTAAAAATTTCTTAATGACCCCATTGGATTCGAACCAAACCCATGACACGAGAGAATGATGAGAACCAGATCACACCAATCTTGATCCAAATGTTAATAGAAGAAAAACAATTCATTCTCGAGACACACCAACGACTCTTTCTCTACATTTCTCCCAACCCTTGATCTCTACTTCTCCTCTCAATCATTATCATCACCAGAAAAAGCACAAAGGATTAATCTTTGCTCCTCTTAAAAATTCAAGCAATGTCGCTTGACATTAAGAGACCTATCATCAACAAGACCAAGAAGAAGACTGGTTTCATCGTCAAAATGCAACTAAATAACAACAACAACAACAACAGAGGTGGACACAACAAAAGAAACCTCTTCTTCATCTTCTTCAGACATTATTACAGATGGGTCATTTGGTTCTTCCTCTCTCTCTATTTCTTCACATCTTACTTCGCCGGAGACCAATCCTCCACCACAACAACAAGTCTCTTATCTAACCACCAAACATCCTCCTCGCTCCCATCTCGCGCCCTCATCGAATCTTCCGCCATCCTCAAACCATCTCTATCCAACGGAATGAAGATATACGTTTACGATCTACCGGCCAAATTCAACGTCGACTGGGTAACGGCGTCAGACCGGTGCTCCAGTCACCTATTCGCGGCGGAGGTAGCCATCCACCGTGCCCTTCTCTCCGACTCCTCCGTCCGTACGTTACTCCCGGAAGAAGCAGATTTCTTCTTCGTCCCTGTCTACGTCTCCTGCAACTTCTCCACAGCCAACGGCTTCCCTTCTCTAAGCCACGCTAAGTCCCTCATCAGCTCCGCCGTCGATTTCATCTCCGAACATTACCCGTTTTGGAACCGGACTCGAGGCTCCGACCACGTCTTCGTCGCTTCACATGACTTCGGCGCATGTTTCCACGCCATGGTAAATTAAACTCCCCAAATTCGATAATTTTTGAATAAAGTTTTGATTTTTATTTTTTTACCAAATAAAAAGTTTTGATTTTTATTTTTTACCAAAAAATGAAGTTTTGATTTTTATTTTATTTTCAATTTTTTTATTATTATTTTGATGAAGATCGTTTTGATTTTGTGAAGGAGGATATGGCGATACAAGAAGGGATTCCAGAATTTATGAAAAATTCGATAATTTTACAAACGTTTGGAGTTACGTACAAGCATCCATGTCAAGAAGCTGAGCATGTGGTGATCCCGCCGTATATTCCGCCGGAGAGTGTACAGAGAGCATTAGAAAAAGCTCCGGCGAACGGGCGGCGAAACATTTGGGCGTTTTTCCGAGGGAAGATGGAAGTCAACCCTAAGAATATAAGCGGACGCTTTTACAGCAAGTGCGTGCGTAGCGAAACCATTCATGTTGACTTTGTAATTTTTTTTGTTTTTTTAAAATATAATTACTAAAATGCCTCTCTTCGGCGTGCAGGGGAGTGAGAACGGCGATTTTAAAGAAATACGGCGGAAGAAGACGGTTTTATCTTAACCGGCACCGGTTTGCTGGATACCGATCAGAGATCGTGAGATCGGTGTTTTGTCTCTGTCCTCTCGGGTGGGCCCCATGGAGTCCTAGGCTAGTGGAATCCGCCGTGTTGGGATGCGTACCCGTGGTGATCGCTGATGGGATTCAGTTACCGTTCTCGGAGACGGTGCGGTGGTCGGAGATCTCTCTCACGGTGGCTGAGAAAGACGTGAGGAATCTGCGTAAGATTTTAGAGCACGTGGCGGCGACTAATTTGTCTGTGATACAGCGGAACTTACGTGAGCCGGCGTTCAAGCGGGCCCTCTTGTACAATGTACCGATGACGGAAGGAGATGCCACGTGGCATATTCTCGAGGCGTTGCGGAGGAAGCTCGATCGATCTTACCGGAGGAGGTCGAGTGTTTTGAGCGAATGAATAGGTGACACGTAGGATAATGTGTCTGAATGGATGCCAGGCTGGAAAATATTGGGAACTTTGTCGATGTTGGATAACCGGGAATGTCTCGTGTGGGGTCCATAACGTGAGGAGCTTAACTTGGGCACGTGAGATGTCTGCTGAGCTGGCTATCAATGAGTGGAGTAATATGTGACTCAGGGAAGTGAAAGTGTAAAGTATGCTGACGTGTAATTCTTTGGATGAGTAAAGTCATATAATATTTTGAATATAATAAAAGGAGTTGGAGATCGAAATGCATGCAGGGGTTAAATCAATCTTAACTTTCAGTTTAGAATTCAATCATAAGTAAACAACTTTATCATTTTAACACGAATGTAGTCTAATCTAATGTACAATTATTTTTAGTAGGTTGGTTAATTTTTTACTGTTCATAGAAAACAATATAAAAGTATTTATTTTTTTCCATTAGTTCGATGAAATGTGGAACGCACCTAAGTACTTCACGAAGAGTTGACAATCTAGAAATATGCCAAACGCAACTCATGAATCACAGTTTAGTTTTTTAGATCAATCTCAGAAGCTCCTACACATTTTTAAGTTATTTTCACTCAGTTATATAAAAATTCAAATACAACATATAAAAAAATCTAAAAAACACACAGACACTCGGATCTAGGATTTAGTTGACCGTGCTTATATATAATAATGTTAAAAGTAAGATAAATTATGTAAAATGCAAATCCAACATGTAAACAATTTGATCGAAACTCAACTGAAAACATAGACATTCGGATCTAAGATCTAGTTGACCGTGCTTAAATATACTACTGTTAAAGTAAGATAAATTATGTATATATACTTGTAGAAAGTAATGAATAAAGGGGTGGAGTGGTATGGGGAAAGATGAAAAGACAGAGAAATGTGAGCAAGAGACAGCTAGTGTGTCAGAGGATGCATATACCCAATAAATGTAAATATGTTGGATTAAATAATATATAGTATGTACCCACAGTTTGTTTTGGAGGCCCACCTTACTTTAATATCTTTATGTCTTGTAGATATCACTAAACAGTACACTTGATAATTGGTCCTATCGTATAGGCGGAGATGAATGCATAGAGGCGGAGATGAATGCATAGAGCCGGAGAGGCTATTATATCGCCACAACATATACGACATTTTGTTCTCACTATAATACGCTTCTGAAACCGCAACAAAAAGAATGATCATGTACGTTAAAATTTTTAATTAAAAGGATAGTGACATAGTAGCTCATTTATAAATGGTATGGTCACTGGTCATTCTCTTTGCTCTAAGGATTGGTTAGAGAAGTCTTGATCTGTAACATCCCGGTTTGTGGTATATGGAAAGGCTTAAGAGAATTGATTTGGCTACCTATATCACCAAAGTGTACTTACCTTTTCGGGAGCACATCTAGAGAGAACCCCACAGTTAAGCGTGCTTGAGCTGGAGTAGTCAAAAGATGGGTGACCTACCGGGAAGTGATTTGCGATACCGTGTAAGTGAGGCCAAAGCATGAGGAAATGTCATGTGGTGATTGCAGGGTCAGTAAACATGACTCTAGAACCTTGGAAAATTAACGGACCGGCCGTTGGAACGGGATGGGGCCCACGGGCCGAGTGAGCGGCGTGGATGGCCCATTAACTGTGGACGGTCGGGGCGTTACATGATCATTAGTAGACATATACATAATTTTAAAAAATTCAAAGGCCTCCAAAAGACATACTTTACTAAAAGGCCCTACATATGTTGTTTAGCTACAGTTTGTTGGCCCGCATCGGCCCATACACATGGCCTAAAACAGTGTAGAAACGAACTATTTAATTTGCATATTTTAGTTTTAAATACTTTTGGGCCAAAAAAAAAGAAAAAACGAAAACAGAGCAAGCGAAGTCGCAAAAAGAATGGAGAAAGTGATGAAGATGATAAAACCTAAGCCTGATCCGAAGCAAATCTTGCGAGATTGGCAACGTAAGCTTCGTCAGGAGTGCCGTAACATCGAACGCCAAATCCGAGGTTCTATTTTTCATCTCTTTCCGTTTGGTTAATTTAGGGTTTTTGGATTCAAAGTTTTAAACTTTGATGAATATAGCTGAAATTAGATTGATGGGTTTGGTTTACAATGATTCAATTTGAATCGTCTTAGGTTGAATCTGTAAGAGAGCTTAGAAATTTCTGATTCATCGATTTTCAGATATACAGAAAGAAGAGAGAATTGTTCAGAAAGCTATTAAAGAAGCTGCAAAGCGGAATGATATGGTCTCTGCCAAGGTAACACCCAAAAAAAAATATTAAAAAAAAAAAAGAAAAGTCTTAGACTTTGTTAGCTTAGCTCTTTTCAGAAATGTGTTTTTGATGTTCCAGGCGCTTGCTAAGGAGATTGTGAGTTCGAGAAGAACAGTTAACCGGTTATACGAAAACAAAGCGCAGATGAATTCTATATCAATGCATCTTGGGGAGAGTGTTGGTATTATAAAGCTTTCAGTTTTCTTCATTTTGTCATATTCTGTTTGCAATGTGATTGTGTTATCACTTAATTCCTTTTTTATTTCTTTGAATCTGCAGCTGTTGCTAGAACAGTTGGGCATTTGTCCAAGAGTGCAGAGGTTATGAAGCTAGTAAATAACCTCATGAAAGCACCACAAATGGCTGCAACAATGCAGGAGTTCAGTAAAGAGATGACTAAGGCACCCTTTGTTCTGTTCACTGCTTAACTGTTTTTTTTTTATCATCGATTCATACGTAATCTCTAATGAATCTTTTGTTTCTTTGGTATGCAGGCTGGAGTTATTGAGGAGTTTGTGAATGATGCCATTGACAATGCACTAGATTCAGAGGATATGGAAGATGAGATTGAAGAAGAGGTTGATCAAGTATTGACAGCTATTGCTGGAGAAACCGCTGCTGAGCTTCCTGAAGCTGTCAGGAAGGAAAGGATAAAGGTTCCTGCACACAAGGCGAGCTCTTCCCGCGAGGTAAGCTCATCCTGCAAAATGCATTGCGAGAGAAAAACAAAACAGTTTGATACTTGGAGATTAGATTCTGTAAGAAGTTAAGATTTTTTGTTTTGTTTTGTTTTGTTTTGTTTTGTTTTGCAGGAGGAGGCAATTGCAGAAGGTGATGATGACGAGGAAGAATTGGAGGAGATTCGAGCTCGGCTTGCAAAAGTTAGATCCTAACTAATTCCATTGACCCTTTACACTCCATTTTTTTATTAGATTTGATGAACTCTTAATGTTGATGGCAACACAAGGAGATTGCAGTGTACTGTATAATATAATTGAACTACCGTATACAATGTAACCGTAAGCTGTGTTTTGTTAACTAAGTTTCGTTTCTTTTCATAGTATCTCATCCAAAACTCTTAATGATCTTATACTATGGTTCATCGGATTTTCTGTTTTAAGTTTCCAATAAAACAAGTTAAAAGAATCTGGATGCTTTCAAAGAACCATCTAATGAGCTTGGTTTATGATCATCACCTGCATGATTTAAAGATGGCTGAACCCATAATATAACGTGAGATGGTCATAGCATGAACACTCATATATGCAGGAATAGGATCATCTATATATATTCATAATACTTGTATATTAATCTAGTGACACTAAGCAGGAGACACCTTACAATAGCTAATGTATTCCATTTACATAGTCAAACAAAAAATAACAAGAAAAATATCACCATGTTTACAATTGGGATACACATTCTATGTATTTGCTTATACTCTGTATCAGTTTAGTTGTAGTTGTAGAATAAAATTTTTGTTTCAAAATAAATGTTGTTTTATAATTTAATGCAAAAATTAATTTTATAGATTGTTATATTTTTATTGGTTGAAACATGATTAAATGTATAAGTAATGATGTTTTTATTCAGAAAATATGCAAAACTAAATATTTTTTTAATCTGTGTGTACAAACCTAAAACGAAAAATAAAATGAAACATATAGAGTATCAAAGAGAAATCAACAAAAGTTAGATATTAAAGAATCAGAAATTATGAGAGTTTGGTTTCATAGGTAGGACATGTAATAATTCCAAACTCTCTAAGCATCGATATATGTTTAAATTAATTTTTGTTTATTCCTAAGTTTTTGCATATTTTAACGTTGAAAGCAACTTGTAGTGACAATCAACATGCATAATCCATCTCATGTAATGTTAGACAGTATACAAGATTGCCAAAGACACACATAATTTAATTAGGATGAAAAAGGAGGAATGACTAAACCAGTAATATGTTTGGTTGTAAAACACATGTTTTGTTGGGAAAGTCATATTACTGAGAATGTATTTTCATAGGGAATATTAATACTCTGAGAAGTATCCATCTTTGTGTATGTGTGTGAATTGAGTTTTTTAAATACATGTTCAAATTCACAAGAGAAAACTTACCAACACAACATAACATACAAGATATTCTCTCTTTTTATTCTCTTTTTTGTTTTCATGTTTTCCCACTTCCTACACAGTTACGTTTCCAATGATCCTTACCTGGAAGAATTGGCTCATCATGCTGGCTATTATAGCTTGCCAAATACGAAATCATCCAGGTAAACTCTTAAACCAATTAAAATTAGTTTGATACACTGAAGCATTAAAATTGTTCTTGATTCTGTTATTCACAAGTTGTTATGTTTCTCTTTTGAGTCATGGAACAACATAATGGATCCAGTTGTGATCTGGCTATCGGGTGGAACGGGTTGTTGTGGCACTTTGGGCATGTTCACTCTCACTGAGGATCTTTCTCTCTCTGGGAACGAGTATAGTTGGAACCAGATTCGAATAATTTCGATACAGAACAAATTTTCCTTGTAGTTAAGAGTGAAGTTTATGATGCTATGATAAATGATTGAATGATTAGTCTAAGGTGAAATCCAGGATATTCTTGCTCCCTTTCCTCTTAAATATTTTTATTTTCTTTCATTTCTTACACAAAATCATTTCCAATGGTCTGTGTGTAGACTAATCGTACACTACCAAAAGTAATTTGTCATTCTAATTTTTGAAAGTTTAAAACAATGATATTAGTTGTAAAGCATCAGTATATAATTATATTAGTTACTTTAATAAGAAACTATAACGTAAATAACATTATTTTTAATGTGTTTTGTTCAATTGAAAGGAAAAAACCAAAGATGTCTGGTGGGAAATATATTTTGCGAAATCAGATTTTGATGATGGTAAACCTAAAAAAATTAAAGACTGTTTGGTAGTTATTGATTACATCAAACTAATTTTTAAACTACAATATATTTTTTGAAAAATCATTAAGATCTAATTCCTAGTATAATACTTATTGACAATCTAAAGTTTTAACAAATATTTATTGAGAAAAGATAGACCAACCTAGCCCATTAAAGAGTTGGTTACAAAGAACTAACTTTTTAAAAGAAATCTATACTATTATATAAGAAGTAAATTTGCTTAGTTGTCAACTTCTCCTTGATTTTAGGTAAATTTGATCATTTAATTATTTAAATAATTTCATATACAATTTATTATTTAATAAATACGAATTTATATTAATTCTTTTATTATAAAATTCAAGTGGATTTACTGATTGGTTTGTAACATCTCCATGATTATTGTAATTTTGCTGATTTGTTATATTTTAATAATTTTATGAATAACTTATCATATAATAAAATGAATTTCTATTAATAATATTATACTTTTAGAAAATAAGATAATTCTTATGTATTATATTGTTATCTTTAAAATATATTTTTTTATCATAGAAAATAAAAATTAAGTTAAAATATTAATCTATACTATTATTTGCGAAGTGATTTTTCGCAACGGAGCTCCCACGTTAAAAGTTAGGGTGGTTAATATCATTTATACCCTTAATGAATAAAATATATAATTAGACATAAAATCAAAACGAAATTGATATTTATTTGATTAAATAAATTATTAAAATTAATAATAATGTTAAGAATTATCCATAATATAAATATATATTTAAAAATAAAAAAGATAATTCCTATATATATTGTGTTGTTATCCAGAAAATATATTTTAATAAAAAATAAAAAACGGAAAACACATATATAAATACTCATAAAGAAACTTTTTAATTGTATATAATTGAAAAGAGAAAATTGAAAAATTTATAATACGTAATTATTTTCTAACTAAAAGAATATAATAATATAACATAATGATATATATATATATATATATATATATATATATATTTGTGAAGTAATTTTTCGCCTCTGAACTCACATGTTAAATTAAATTTATTTTATATAGTATAACATTAAACATGAATTAATCATAATAAAATAAAAGATCATTCAAAAGGAAAAAAAAAACGTTGTGAGAAGAAATATACTATTATTTGCGAAGTGATTTTTCGCAACGGAGCTCCCACGTTAAAAGTTAGAGTGGTTAATATCGTTTATACCCTTAATGAATAAAATATATAAATTAGACATAAAATCAAAACGAAATTGATATTTATTTGATTAAATAAATTATTTAAATTAATAATAATGTTAAGAATTATCCATAATATAAATATATATTTAAAAAGAAAAAAGATAATTCCTATATATATTGTGTTGTTATCCGGAAAATATATTTTAATAAAAAATCAAAAACAGAAAACACATAAATAAATACTCATAAAGAAACTTTTTAATTGTACATAATTGAAAAGAGAAAATTGAAAAATTTATAATACGTAATTATTTTCTAATTAAAAGAATATAATAATATAACATAATGATATATATATATATATTTGTGAAGTAATTTTTTGCCTCTAAACTCACATGTTAAATTAAATTTATTTTATATTTTATATAGTATAACATTAAACATGAATTAATCATAATAAAATAAAAGATCATTCAAAAAGAAAAAAAATACGTTGTGAGAGGAAATATAATCATTTGAATGTAAATAATCATTTATTTTGATGATTTTTTAAATTGACTTAAATATAATTAAGTGTGCATGTCCAAAATTAAGTGATTTTTCGCAATAGAACTCCCACGTTAAAAGTTACTCTGGTTAATATCGTTTACACCCTTAATGAATAAAATAATTACATATAAAATAAAAACGAATTTAATTATTTAAATTAGATAAGTAATTAAAACTAATAATAATCATAAGAATTATCCAAAATCTTAATAAGATGTATTTAAATAAGATAATTCATATATATATTGTGTTGTTATCTACACATATATTTTAATAAAAAATAGAAAATACATAATCAAGTAAAGTTCTTAATTTTATATAATTGAAAATATTATTTGATTTTAAGATTTATTTTTAATAGTGAACATAATATACACAGAAATATATGTAAGAATGTTTAAATGAAAAAATGAATATTATTGGTTTTAAAAAAACATACATAATAATTTATCATTATAATCTTTCAATTAGTAAAAGTACATTAATAAAATAATTATAAAATGTTCAGGCCCGCAAGTGCGGGCAAAACACCTAGTAGTTAAATATAAAGAAAGCAATGCTAATTTATCAACTTCTCCATGGTTTTATATTTTGCTTATTAATCATATTTTAATAGTTTCATATATAGTTTATTAAATAATAAAACGAATGTATACTAATAATACCAGATTTAAAAATAAGATAATTCTTATGTATTTGATTGTTATCTTGAACATATATTTTCTATTAGAAAATTAAGTGAATTATCTGATTTGTAAGTTTTCCATGATTTAGATAATTTTGATTATTTGTCATATTTTTAATAATTTCATATAAAATTTATTATAAAATGAAAACGAATTTCTATTAAAAAATATATTTTGAGAAAATAAGATACTTCTTATGTATTATATTGTTATCTTGAAAACATATTTTTTATTATAGAAATAAAAAATTAAGATAGAAAAAATTATAATTAAAATAAATTAAAGCAACACATATGTAAAAATATATTTTTAGAAAATAGTTTTTATGTGAGTATTGTCATTTATAATTAATTTTAAAACATTAATCATAATTTATTATATTGGTTTGAATTAATAAATATAGATTAATAATAAATTGTATGAAAATTATGTCCGCATGTGCGGGCAAAACACCTAGTCTATACTATTATTTAAAAAGTAAATTTGCTTAGTTGTCATGTTCTCCATAAATTTAGGTAATTTTTTATCTATTATATTTTAAATATTTATATATATTTTTTATTTTAAAATAAAACAAATTTATATGAATATATCATATTTTTTGAAAACAAGATAATTTTTGTGAATTATGTTGTTATCTTGAAATATATTTTTATATATAAAACTTATTTAAGAAGTAAATTTACTTAGTTGTCATGTTCTCCATAAGTTTAGATAATTTTGTTTATATATCATATTTTAAATATTTATATATATTTTATTTTAAAATAAAAAAAAATTATATGAATATATCCTATTTTAGAAAACAAGATAATTCTTGTGAATTATGTTTTTATCTTGAAATATATTTTTTATATATAAAACTTAAATTTAAAATAAAATATAAAAATATTTATTTATTATATAACTAAAACGAATTTACATTAATAATTTTATATTTTTTCTAAAATAAGATAATTCTTATGTATTATGTTGTATGTTGAAAATATAAATTCCTATTATAAAAATTGATATTAAAATATAAAAATTATATTATTAATAATTAAATATAAATCATCAAAACAATTATTTGAAAAGTGGATTTGTTGATTTGTCTTCATGTTCCTAGATAATTTTTGATCATTTATCAGAATTACTCTAATTTTTTTTATTGATTATATAATTAAAACAAATTTATATGAACAATATGATATTTTAGAAAATAAGTTAATTCTTATGTATTATGCTGTTATCTTGAAAATATATTTTCTATTATAAAATTTAAAATTAACATGTAAAAAATCTATACAATTATTTAAGAAATGAATTTAATGTTTGCTGATTTTTCATATTTTCTGATTTTTGGTAATTTTGATAGTTTATCATAATTTCTATAATTTTATATATTATTTATTATATATGTAAAACAAATTTATATTAATAGCATCAGATTCTTGAAAATAAGATACTTATGTAATAATTGTTGTCTTAAAAATATATTTTTTATTAGAAATTTTAAATTAAGATATAAAAAGTTGTAGTTATTCTATAATTGAAATAAATTTACACTAATAATATTATACTTTTAGAAAATAAGGTAATTCTTTTGTATTTTGTTGTTATCTTGAATATATATTTTTATATTATATAATTTAAAAGTAAAATAGAAAATTATCTGTTATTAATTAAATATAAATCATCATTCAAGAATAATTATTTAAGAAGTGAATTTGCTGATTCATTAATTTCTCCATGATTTTTGATAATTTTAATTAAATGTCATAATTTCTATAATCTTATATTTTTATCATATTATATTTTTAGACAATAAATAACTTATGCATTATATTTTTATCTTGAAAATATATTTTTCTATTATAAAATTTAAAATTAAGATATAAAAAATTATAATTAAATATAAATTAAGTAAAAAAATTTGTATAAATATTATAATTAAATATAAATCAAGCAAAATAATTATAGAAATTATCTGATATTTTATTTGTACATTTTGAAAACATAAATAATAATTTATTATGATGGTTTTTAAATTAATAAAACATCAACTAATAAATATTCATAAGAGAATTATACCCGCATTTACCACTTAGTTGAATACAATTGAAACATTGATAACGCGAAAGTAACATTCAAAAATGTTTAAATTTCTTGCGCTAATGCGGATATTCAATCCCAATGATCAAATCACTCATCAACAAAGATGATGAAATGCCAACAACAAGAAGAATAACAGGATACATTAATAATATATTAAAACTAACCAAATAGAAAACATATCAATAAACAACATCATAAACAGGTTCTTCCTTAACAACCAGCTGTTGTTGGGAAGCTTCAATTTCACTTGCAATGTTGTTATTGCTACCTCCGCTATCCTCTACAATAGTTTCTTCGGGTTGGATCATCTGAGATTCACCATGCATCGTTTGGTCTATCTTACGAATTCTTTTTTTGTTCCTAGCGTTGTATCTCTTTGCTTTTTCTTCGACCGTCTCATTCTTGTAGTGAACCGAAGATATATGCGCTGCAAACTTTTGTGAAGTATCAAACACGTCTTCGCATTTGGGACATGTATATGGACCGTACTTTTCATATGGTAGGCTATGCGTCCGACCATCGTATACACCATTCTCCTCAAAATCAAAACCGTCTAAAATCTCTTTAAATTTCTGACGTTTAATCACTGGTCGACGATTAGGAACATGGTGGTGATTTGGTGAAAAGGAAAATTGGTCTACATTCCTAGGAAAATGGGTACTGAGAGGTGTAGGATTTAATATGTTGCTCTGATTCTCAACAAAAGTCTGAGAGTAAAAGGAAGGACTCGAAATGTTGGGATACATATCACGTTCATATTCATTTTGGGCTATGATTGAACTAATAGTAGGAACTATAGCAGAGTACCTTCTTGTGATAGTTTGGGTGATAGAGACTTGAGAAAGATGAAAGTTATTGCTAATAGGAAGGTAATCAACAGCATCAGAGACCATGTTGGTTCTCATCTCATAAGCCGCATGTGAATTATTGAAACCAAAAGAAGATGAATAGATATGTGAATCTTGATAACAATTAGAAGCATGAGAGGAAGAGAACACACCATGATGGTTTCTGATGTCAGGAGTATTGAATATTGACCGAAACATTTTAGTCTCGCGATCTCCATAGCTGGAGTTCATTTGGATGGGGACAGAACCGTGAAGATTCATTGTATCGTCACCATAAGAGTTTAAACCATTTGGGATTGAATACATATTGTAAGTTGATTACAGAGCTTGCTTTACCTTGTGTTGTTGTGTATCTTTTTATATTGGTACGACTGAATGAAACAAAGTTAACAAAATCAAAATAATCTAACAATAAAGGAAACATATCTGTTTCATATTTATTATTATTTTTTAAATATATTACATACTATAAATGTATGTAATCTCAATTATTAAATTTTAGCTATTAACGGAAATAAACTTATATCACTATGGTAATGTATATAGATAAAATAAAAATGAAATTTCTTTTTATTTAGATATGTTAATGCTGTGACAATCCTCTTGTGTGGTGTTCATGACCACTCGATACGTGTATTATTGACGATCCTTTTCCTTCTTTTTCCTGAGTTTATCTGTTTTTGACTAAAGTAAAAAGATAAAATGATTAATCATAAGATTATTATGTTATAACTGCATTTTTTTTTCGTAGAAATGCATGATAGAGCTTGAAACTCAAACGATGAAAAAGTCATATTGATATAAACCAATCTAATTGACATTTTAGAATCATGGTTAGAACTGGTACAAAATTTCCTTTCATATAGAGCGAATAAATACGACACTCTGGATTTAAAAAGAAAAATGATACTTTTAACTCATACTCCCTCTGTTTCATTATAAGTGTCACTCAACAGCTGTGCACACGGATTAAGGAAACAATTAATTTTACATATTTCCTATATAAAAATACAATTACCCATACACCTAACCATATTTTAACCAATAGAAAAACACATTAGATAATAAAATTAATAAATTTTGCATTGAGAACCGAAAACGACACTTATTTTGTAACACAAAACACTCTCTACAACGACACTTAATATGAAACGGAGGGAGTATATAGTACTCTCTCTCTCTCTATTTATTTAGTTGATGTTGAGAGAATTGCACACAAATTAAGGAAGTTAGTATATTATCTATTCTATCCTTATTTATCATTGTTTTGTTGTGCAGATTCTCAATCATAACTATTAATGCAAAGGTAAATAAAATTGAAAGTCACTATATTCTGCATTAAAAATTTGGAAACGTCAAATATTTTGACAACAATAAGTGCAAAACGTCAGCTATAACAAAACGGATGGAGTACAAAAACTTGAAATCCTAGAATTTTTAGTTGAAATACTTCACAAATAGATTTGTAGGTCAAAGGCTAGACATAATCTTAAAATCTCCTTCAATCCAAAAATCTCATTTAGCTTTACTGTTTTTACTCAAATTGAGTAGATTTTGTTTATTAGTTTTAGATAAGTGTAACTTTCTAGATATGATAAACCACTGTCTAAAGTTTTTTCAATAATTTTATTTTTCCAATCAAAAGAATTTGATGTATACATTAAACTCTTTGCATAATTATTAGTTGAAAATTATATATGTATGCAGATAGTCAGAATTAATGAGCTTACTTAGACATTTGGTAATACACATGATAAACTACAAATTGTTGGAAAAAAAATTAAAAATATTTATTTCGATCAAATTTAATAATATTTTATTAAGTTTGGTATATTTTTCGACATATCTTTTTATAACATCTGCAAGAGATTATATCTTTTCATTTGTTAAACATTATTTATAAATACAGTTTTTGCAAAAATAATCTCATTAGATATATTTACCACCAAAGCACATTTAGTAGTAGTGTATGTTTATTACTGTGAAAATTACTAAAGCCTTATAATTATTTGCATATACCTGTTTAGTCTTTTTTTTACAAAATTTGCCTTTAGAAAATGATACGTTAAAAACTATTTTTTTGTCAAGTTGAAAAATTCAGGAGTTTGTCCACTTTAGTTTGCCCAACTACTCATGAGGAAATAAACCGAGCTAATTACACTGAGAGTCAGACGAGAAAAAGACTCTTGTCTTTTTGGAGTCTTTTTGGTATTCATCGTCCAATCATAGTTTGACTCAAACTAAGTTAGATTAATTCTTTTTCAACCAATATAATAGATCGATCACTTTTTTCAACATAAATAGTAGATGTTAATATTTCATTTTTAGATTATCGGCATTTTTAAAAAGCAACAGATGATCTGCATATATTTTATTGCAACATGAACAGCGCATCTAATATAATACTAATAAAAAACCATGCATGCAAATATATTATGCAGATATATTATGAACAAACCAGATGGCATTGATATCATAATTGGCTGTCTAGGAGGTGACGCATGAGAATTATTCAGTGTTACGAAAAGTTTATGGTGAAAAACCAGTGACACAATAATTGCCTCTGTTACGTTCTTTTTGACATCAAATAAAAACAATATCTCAACAATTACATAATTTAATTAATCAAAAACTCAGTAAGAAAGAGAAATGTGAAAGAATCATAACCATTTTTAGATAGATATTTTTTTGTTAAAAAAAAAAGATAGATATTTCTTTTATTTGTCATCACTTAAAGAAACTATTTAGAATTAATCACATAATTTACATGAAATAATAATAATATATAGTTAAAATCTCTTTTGGGTACCCAAACTGTTAAGATTGCCTTTATATACTAATTGTTTCATATACTTTTCTACATATGCATTGAACACTATCTCTAAAGGCCAGCATATCCGATTTTATATTATACCTGAGATCTTCTGTTCACCAACAAGATTTCTATAAAATGTAGAAACCCATATCTTTTTTTTTGTAAAAAAATATCTGTGCAAATTAATAATATGATGCACATTTACTAAAATATTTCAATTTTTAACCTTGTTAACTAGAAACTAAAAGCTTTAAAATAATAATTAGAAACTAAAACATTCTAAATGATAAAAAAAAGCTTAATGAAACATGATTCCTGACTTCAAAATTTAGTGGATATGTGTAGCGCCAACATAAAATAAGGAATTATTTACTTACATATTTACAATGAAAAAAACACAATATCAGTTGATCATCATTGTACAGGAATATTTACTTACAAGTTTGCAATGATGTAATCAACTGATATTGTGGTTTTTTCATGCCTTTGATTTTTTTATGTATTATCTAACATTATTTAAAGTTGTACATTAAATAACATTTTTGTACAGTCTCGCATAGAGTTCTAATTTTGTATATATGGTGTTTACATGCATTTTAAGTTGTTTTTAGGTGAACAGAGCAATCCGAATTTGAAGTTTGACGCGCAGAGACAATTAAGTTTCTTTTGTAACTCATGTAAATGTAATTAAGCAGATGTCAAAAAAATGTAATGTGGCAAAAAGTTTGTTGGAAATTTGAAGTACACTGGATAAGGAAATTCCTGTTTGGCCATTTGTACACACACATACGTACATGAGCTAATAAGCATATATACATATTACTTACACAAATCTGGAAATGAGTGTGTGACTGTATCTACGTGAAACATGTTCCTCAACACACATGTACCTTAAATGATGTAAACAGTAAGATCTTTCAATTTCAATTGTACATATATGGATACATATTTGTCCGTGGGTCAAAGTCATCTCAAACCCAATTGCAGAATACTATTTTACATTAAAACCGCCCTAACCCAACTGTATTACATTATTATTACATCATTTTAGTGTAACATTATAATTTTATATTAAATTTAATGTAACACTATTTAACATATTAAAATACTGTTCATCGTAATAAAATATTAACTACATAGTTAATTAACAAAATTTAAATTAAATAAATAACAAACAAGAAAATAAATAGATACTTCCTCTATTTCATAATAAGTGTCGTTTTAGACTTTGGCACACGGATTAAGGAAACAATAAATTTTGCATATTTTACATGTAAAAATATAATTACCTATACACGTAACCTTATTTCAACCAATATAAAAATAAATTACAGAATGATATTAATAAATTTTACATTAAAAATCGAAAACGACACTTAATTTGTAACGAAATTTTTCTTCTAAAATGACACTTAATATGAAACAGAAGGAATATAATATTATAAAATAATTTTAGTGTGAAGTTTTGTGTTATTATTAAAAATAATTTTTATAGTGGTGAAATTACACTAAAATAACATAATTTTAACACCAAAATAATGTTACGAGGTGGAGATGTCCATAGCCACATATACACGTGAAACTATCTCCAAACCAACACTAAAATTCTATATTAGTGTGATTTTGACATAAAAATCTTCTATAAACCAACGTTAAAATTCACACCATTTTAATGTGGCATTATAATTTCACATCAAATTTGGTGTGATACTAATCATCACACTAAAATATTATTCATCTCACTAAAAAACTATTCATTTATTTTATTAATAAAATATATAATTAAATAAAGTACAAATAAAATATAATTATAAATAATATTATAAAATATTTTTTAGTGTTAAGTTTAGTGTTGTGATTGGAGAAAAACTTAATTTTTTTGTGTTGAAATTACATTAAAATAGTATGATTTTATGAATTTCTTTTTTTTGTAAAATTAATTGTAGTTTTATTAACTCAGGCAAGTGTCCATCAAAGTAGTACGATCTGAATAATTATGAAGGTTCTTTTGGCAGTTTACTAAATGTAATAACGAAGACAACGTTCGCAAGTCAACTCGTGATGATAATTTTTTGGTTAATGAGATTTCACAAAATGGTTTTTATTTTCTTTGGACGTTGTTTTGTTGTCACAAAAAAAAAACTCAGACAGTTCAACATAGTTCACTGGTCCGACCGATGCAATCTCCGCTTATTACATGTTGTCTCCCTTTGTCCGTGTAATATCGTCACCTTTGTAACTTTTTTCTTTTCCATTTGTTTTTTTTTTTTTTTTGAAATTCATAATGAGTACCGAATATTTGATCATGATAATGCAAATAAATATACTTTGATGAATGATCAAATCAAGCAGAAAACTCAAGTTAATGATTATCCCGTTTTCCATCAAACTCAGAACAAAGTTGCTAGATATTTTCTATCAAACTCACTTGTTTATTATTGCAGAATACATATATGAAATACATAAACCCTCAGATATATAAATCGAGAGG